TGTTGTTTCCATCTCCATCTCTTGTTGCATATGGTAGAATTTCACAATCATCTTCAAGCCTTATTGTATTTTTAGAGTTAATGTCCTCAAAAGGATACATGATTGACACAAACATGGGTCCCCATTTAATAATTTAGAAGTGTTGTCTATAGTTAGTAATATCCCATTTATTATCATGTTCTCTAACTTTCTTAATCATTGCATTCAGAAAATCACATTAGTAATGTCCAACTACAAAGATAAATAGTCTTTTATTATTGTCAACTATAGAGATAAATTGTGAGTGACCCCAAAATTTATTATGATTATTATATCTCAATTTTATATTCTTCTCATAAGCTTCATAGAATCACATTGTATTAACCACATCACTGGATTAATTGGCATTTCAATACTTTGTATTATTCCTAATTATGTTTGTAGGTGTTTGACGTTATAACATACTTTAGTTGTCATCTCCTTTGATTTGCAAGTGTCTTTTAGTCATCTTTATGCACCACTATATTATGTAATTGTATTTTACAAATGTGACCTAAATTATACATGTCATCCATCATAGGAGAAGCATAATTATTTTGCTTTCCATACTTGGATTTCTACTTCTAATAAATTGAAATTATGCTTAACATCTATGCAGCTATTGTGATAGTTGTTGACATGACTTAGTCATTGTATAATAAATCACATAAATTTAAATATTGTAAAATTAAAAAATATTATTTTTCAGATATTTAGAGTATTTCTAAACAAAGATATTGATTATAATTTAATAAAAGTTTCAAAAATAGTAAATTTTTTTATGATCAATCATAGGGATGTAATATAATATCGGATAATATTTCAAAATTTTCTTCAAATAATTTTTTTTATAAATTTTATATAAAAAATGAAAATAAAATATATTTAAAAATTATAAAAAATGAAAATAAGGTATGGGCATTAAGATGACGTCAATGCCCCGATGAACGCAAATCAGATGGAAATAAAGTTCCGCATAGTGATTCTTACGTAAGCGATTATGGATAATTTAATTGATCAAATTAAGATATGTAAATACCAAAATAATCATAATTGAACGAAAAGTAGTTTAGAAAGTTGACATCACACAAATTATTATAAAATGAAGTAAAACTTAAGTTAAATGTAAGAAAGATAAAGTTTTGACCTCCCGACAGTGATCGTCGAAATTCTATATGTTTGAAAAGATTATCAAACGATGTCCACGACCTCAAAGGCTTGAACATAGACGATATGGATATTTGTCAGATCTCCTTTTGAAGTCTAAAAAATGATGGTGAAAGTTAAACTAATTAAAAAATATTAAAACAAAGTTCTAACATCACAACTATAATGTATTGACAATACGTTGAAATCTTGAGCATTTAAGAGGATTATCGTGCAGTGTCTATGGTCTCAAAAGCTCTCCTTGGACAAGGACAATATAGACAATCTCTAAATCTTCTTGTGAAGTTTAGAGATCAATAAAATGGGTTGTCTAATCATCTTCAATGACTATCACCTGACATAATAAAAAAATAATGACTTTGTAATTCTCTAACGACTGTCACTCGATGGAGATGAGCTAAATGAAGATGAGGTATGTGTCACGAAGGTTCATCTTCAAGTCCATATAGTAAGGGAAGGCTCTTCATCGCATCTGATATGCTCTCAAAAGGTGGTGACTCATCTCTTGACATATCATCCTCTTCCTGAAGATGACTTGTTCGTTGATTAATCAAAAATAATTTACTTGATAGAATTGCAATCTTTTTATCGCGATTGATTTAACAATTTTACTAACGATGCTACGCGAATTACGTTGATGAGATTTTTGCTAATGATTGAACGATTCTAGAGACTTAATCTTTTACCGACGGTTTGCAAGAAAATGTAATTTAATTAGATAAAAATGTGAGTTTTGGCTTTAGTTGGATTCGAACCCTTGCTAGTCGCCCCGCCTATATGAGAGAGAGTGAAATAAGTACGTAAATATCCTTATAAAAGGACATTATTATGATCTCTACTTCTAATAAATAAAAGATATTTGAGGTACAAAAATTTTAAAATCATTTGAGGAAGGTGTGAATAGGGTTTAATCCCACATTGATTATTCATCAAATTTTGAGATGAATATATAATAATACGTGAAAATCAATTAGTCTCTTTCTCACGTGTGTACAACCACTCCTTGCTTCACTCCTAGTTGGGCACTAGTGATGTTGAAGGGGAGTGACGCACATGTGCCCCCTAATGGTCCATTCTTAGCCGCTCAAACCCCTACTCACGACTCCACCTGATTGTGCTTCCGACCCACTTGTGGGCTTGGTTGGTTAATGGGTCCCCCCTTTTTCTATCTTTCTATTTTCTTTTCTTTTTCTTCATTTATCTCAAAAATATGATTATAAAATTATAAAAATTCACATAAAATCACATAATTAGTCAAAAAATCACATTAACCAACTAAAAATTACTTTTCACAATTTAACATAAATATAAGTCTATTTATCATGAGTTAAAGCTAAAACTATATTATTTATTAATTATTAACTCATGATAATGAAGACTTATTAGTTATTTCCACTAATGATTGACATATGTAATCCCTAGTATATCCTTACTGACTTTCCTCCCCCCCCATGAATGTCTTTGGTCGAAGTGTGGTCGGCACTCTTGGTTCCTCTACAATCCATGAATGTATTATTCTCCTCATTGAACATGAGTTTGGGTAGTTTCATTCCACTTAGTTCTCAATTAATGCCATACTAGTAAACATTATCTTCATAATTAATTTCAATCCAAATGATTTGTGGAGGCTAACTTTTATTATAATATCTTACTTCAGCCCTTTGATGAAAGTGTTCTCCAATAACCCTTCTAATAGTCCTTCCATAGATGTCCTTTCATTATATATTTGGGAGGTTCTTCTATTATTGGTCCTAACTTTTATGGTTCTTCTTCTTCTTTTGACACCTCTCACAACCTAATGCTCAATTTTCCATCTACCAAGTGATGTTTTTCCTTTGTTTCAATTTTTCACGTGGCTTGGAATGACTACCACATATCCTTCATTATCTACATGTGTTGAGTTAATGCATGAGTCAAGTTGTCTATATCTTTTCCTATCTCTAGCAATCATCGCAGCAACTCATCTTTAATCTCTTATGAATTCTTTTAGACTCTTGATTCTTCTGTCATTGATCTTGGGCACACCATCAAAACCTCAATTTGACACCAAATGAAAGACATTTGTTTTGAAATATCAAAACTAATAGAGGAAATGATAGAGGCAATAGAGAGGGACAAGAGGGCTCTAATGTGACCCCTAAAAGAATACCCCCCAACTTGAATGGCGATCTTTTGAGAAGATTTTCCATCTCCCTTCCACCCAAAAACATCAACATTTATCTCTCCTCTCCCCCTTTCCTCTCACACTGCCCTGATCTTCTTTGTGCCCACCAATGGAATTTCCGTAATTTGCAACCTCAATAGGCTCTCTTCTTTGAGTCTCAAACTAGCTATTCCATTTGTTACTCATCCAATTAGATAGGCCCATTAGGTACCCATTATTTTTTATCTTTAAAAATTTTGAGTTGTCTTGGTGGATCAACTTTAATGTTCATTGGTCGGTAAGGGAGAAACAAAAAATCATAAACTTCCAAAAAGACACCCCCTTTCATTCCTCTCTCTCTCTCTCTCTCTCTCTCTCTCTGAGCAATTTAGATGAGCACCAAAATCCACATTGGAGGCTCCACAACCAAAAATCATTAGACTATAAGTGCCATAAGAACTATATGCAAGCATTTCCACAACAATTTCCTAATATTTCATTATTCTTAATAAGTGCCATAATAACTATATGCAAGCATTTCCACAACAATTTCCCAATATTTAATTATTATTTTCTTGTTAAAAAAATGTTCTTTCATATAAACAAACTGATTAAAGTTCATTTTCCAAGATATACAGACACAATAGCAACCATTGGATCATGAATGTCTATTAGATATCCTCAAAATAATTGATATGTGCATTTATCATCATTTTAGAATAATAAAATAGTAAAAAATAAAGGTGTGAAAAAATCATTTCACCCTCATTTTTTTGTCACATTCCTAATAAAAGGGTTCCTATTATTGCTTGGCCCACGCCCAAAGCCCATCTTTTGGTCCTCTCTCTTACTACAAGCCCACCTCCTCAGGTTGGCTGGGCCAGGTGGACCAAATTTTTAGAGAGCTGATGCAGCCCAAAGCCCATTCGATTTGATCGGCCAGGATAGGCCTGATTTCACTAATGGGCTATGGGCCCATTATCTCGACTTTTACTCTTCACCCATTTTCTCCCAATTCCATGCGGGCCCGAATTGGCCTGTCGGCGGGATCTATGAGTCCCGTATACCCGTTATGGATCCGGATCCGGTTTGACTATATGAGAGTTGACCCTACTCTCCATCCTCACATCCTCCTGGCGCTCCTTGTTCCCCTGGCAGCGGGGACCCCCAGCCTGGAGATCGGGGATCCGCCCCTTGCCGCTGGGTGCTGCTGCTCTGTTTCGGAGGCGAGCAGGTTCCTCGATCGAGGTTTGGTTCCTCTTCTGATCATCCTTCGATCTCGCCGATTTCCTCTTCGTGTCACGAGAACTGGAATGGTTTGAGCAGAGTGGGAGTAGGAAATCTCTTCTTCGGCGCTACCAGTCGGTGCTCCCGTCTCTTCTTGCCGAAGTTCGTTTGTTCGCTCCTGTTCGTTGTCTGAGGGTCGCCCTAGGTTCTGCGGCTCGATCGATATTCGCTTGATCTTGGGGCAGACTTTCTCTATTTGCATGCCAAAATGAGCCGATCTGTGAAAACCTGTTCGTATCCTAAAACGGCGGGGGATCTTCTACTGTCTCGATCTGGCGGAGAAATCGGAAAGGTTCTGCGGAAGAATTCGTTCCTAGGGTAGAGTTCTTCGTCTCATGCCCCCGGATCTCCTCCTCACCTCCACAGCGGGATATCAATCGGTAGGATGAACCCTAATCATGGCAGATTTCTCTCCCCTTCCCCGCTGGCTTTCGTCCAGAGGGATTCCTCTCCATCGCAGCCGTCCCAAGCTCCACCACCATTAGCGCTCCCTCCCTCACATTCCTCCAGCAGTAGGGTTGGTCCAGCAGTAGTCTTCATCATACTGCTCATGACTGTGATCTGCTTCGGGTCCTGTCTCTCCCACCTCTTCCTCAGATTCTTCATCAAGCAGGGATCATCTTCCTCCCCCGAATCAAGCAACTCAAACTCGGGAGATCTCCCAGGATCATACGCCTTACAGAGGCAGCTCCAGCAGCTCTTCCACCTCCATGACTCAGGCCTGGATCAGGCCCTGATCGACACCCTTCCAGTCTTCCTCTACAAGGAGGTCATCGGCGCTGCCAAGGAACCATTCGACTGCTCCGTCTGCCTCAGCCAGTTCTCCGAGGAGGATAAGCTCAGGCTCCTCCCCGCCTGCAGTCACGCCTTCCACATCAACTGCATCGACACTTGGCTCCTCTGCAACTCCACCTGCCCGCTCTGCAGAGAAGCCCTCGTCTTCCCCGAGAGAACCATTGAGAACCCAGAGCTCTATCTTGAGGACTCAACAGATGATGAAGGGTCCAATCACTTCCCGGTGCCAAAATCAGTGGAGTTGGGAGAATCTACTGCTGCTGCTGCTGCTGCTGTTGATAAGAAGACCTTCCCCGTGAGGCTCGGTAAGTTTAGAAGCTCGAACAATGGTGGAAATCCCAGTACTGCTTCGAGTAGTAACCCCAGAAATGAAGAAGCAGAGATGAGGAGCAGCAGCAGCAGTTTGGACGCCCGGAGGTGCTTCTCCATGGGATCCTACCAGTATGTGGTCGCAGACTGCAATCTCCAGGTGGAACTGAGCAGCGGGAAGAATGGTGATGGAGGTGAAGGTAGGGCCTCGAGGAGGAGGATGGTGGAGGAAGATGCTGCAAATGCAAATGGGAAGAAACTGTGGGCGGGGAGCAAAGGTGAGAGCTTCTCCGTGTCAAAGATATGGCAGTGGTCTGGGAAGAAGCCCAAGCTCTCATCTACTTCGGACATCCCTTATCTGAATCAGGGCCTGCCTGGAATACAGAGGACTGTTTGATTATGTTTAGTCATTATGCTAACCTGATGCATGCATAAATCAATAATAACCAACCCCCCCTCCCCAAAGTAGTAATTTTCTGTTTTTAGTATTTTCTCCTCGGCCTCAAGATCTGTGGCCTTTTTTCTAATTTTTTTCTGGCCTTTTTTTTTGTTTTGGTTGTGGAGAAAAGGGTAATAAATGTCATTTGGGGGGAAAAAATGTACAGCTTCGGCACTTCAGTCTTCTCTTCTTTATGCTCTACTGTTTCATGTTGGGATCCATGTGACCTCTGGAATATGCATCCTCTCTCTCTCTCTCTCTCTCTCTCTCTCTCTCTCCCGCACAGGTCAACGGCGGGTTCGAATCCCAATATGGCAACCCGCGTCTTCCAGAAAGGGAATATCCCGAGCCCAAATGGCTCAATGAGTGGGGCTGCTCTAGGTCAACGAATCCATTAATCTTTTAATAAATAAGTGCTCGGAAAATGGCTCAATGGTCTGAAGAGAAATGAAAAATATTAATACGCTTGAGAAATCAAGAAAAACCTACCAGTGCATTTGACCTCCTACGAATCCACTCATCCATCGTTAGAGTGGATAACATAATTCTACAACACCACAATCTTCACTAAAATCTCTCTAAAAGAAATTATATCATCATCCACACAGAGAGATGGAGAGAGAGAGAGAGAGAGAGAGAGAGAGAGAGAGAGAGAAGTTCATTACTTTTTATCTGGTAGAGAATATCTTTCTCTCTCAATCATCCCATGAATGACGATCATTAGGGTTTGGGTGAGGGAATTGAAGATCAGGTCAAACCTTGTGTTTGGACCGGCTGATCTAATGGATCTTATTGGGCATGTTCAATCCCAATACTGGTCGAGCTTCATAATACTAATTAGCGTTCAGAAAGTAGAGAGAGAGAGAGAGAGAGAGAGAGAGAGAGAGAGAGAGAGTTTGACTTTTTTTTATCTCATAGCGAAGAACTTTCCTCTTTCTTGATCCTCAAGGCTTTGACGAGGCAGTCAAAGATTAGGGTCTGGGCATCACTTGGGGTAGGCCCTCAGTGATATTATCCAACTGGGACATAATCTGACCAACATCCAATGATTGCAGCAATTTTTTCAACAAGTTGAGCAAACAGGTTAACCCCAATTCCAATATAACAATTACTTCCTGTGAATTAAATGATACTGGCCATGGTTTGATTAAAATAAAATAATTGGCATGTGTTCATCAAAACCCTCATTGCATGCTTAGGGCCGGAAACCCATCCCCATTAATCCTTGTGAGAAAAAGAAGGGCAGATCAGGGCTAGTCACAACCTTCCGTAAATAGAAAAAAACTGAAGAACAGGGTGAATATTCATGGGTAGCGTAATAAAACCGGAATCCCTTTGACATTATAGATTCAGGAAGATTAAGATGTCAAAATTCCCTACAGGCGTTGATCCTAAAGGAAGAGGATACCTCGTCTGCTGCTTCCAACCTTGGGAGAGCCTGAATCACAAGAAGAAGCGCCGGCGGCTAGTGTCCATCTCCGGCTGAATTCCCAAGCAAGAGAGAGAGAGAGAGAGAGAGAGAGAGAGGTAAGCTGTGGATTTCTACAAGGGCAAAGACGTTTAAAGTGGGAATTTTAATGGAGGATGAGTTACCTTGTGGGTCCACTCGAATTCTCCACCTTTTGAATCGAAGGTTCCATGCTGCAGGCTGATCAACTTGAGGGTGAATCGAGGGCCGCATTCCTACATTTGATGATGCAAGTGGACACCATCATTGACCAGCCAGAGGAAGAAATGAGCTTTATAAACTCACTCAGCCTTCAACCCATTTGGGGTTTGGGGCTCCAAATCATGTCCAAAAAGGCAAAGTATGGGCCCACCCACCTGAGGTACTTATCCGGCCATCGAAGCCCACAAGGCCCTTTATTTAGGTAAAATTGGGAAGCATATTACCTGCAGACGGGCTATCACTTTGGGTGCAGTGGGCTTCTTGCCCTTGACATCTTTTGCACCCTTCTTGGACTCGTCCTTCTTTTCCTTGTCCTCAAAAATGTACCTGGCGAGCATATTTAGATAAAATTTTAGGGAAGTTAATAGATCATGTCATATTTAGATGTCTAAGTTTATATAGAGAATTTTTTTAGAGGAAGAAAAATAAATCATTCATTCATGAGATAAAGAAAAGTGGCTTCAAATTCCCTGGATAGGTTTTATTCCAGTAATATTTTGAATTGAGTAGAAATAAAAAGTTTCACGTCACTTTTGGAGCTAAGATTTCTTCAGACTATTTCCTCCCCTTCCAAAAGTTAACCTGAAACAAGATCCCTCAAGGTTTAATCGTTCTTTCATTGAATTTTTGTATGCCAATTTGGGAAATTCTCAGTCAATTCGTCAGGGACCACCAACATCCCAAAGGTCGCCAAAGCTTTGAGAAGGTAGGGCTCAGGATCACAAAGACTGAACAAACTGATTTCATTGCTTAATCTAAGGTTTTCTCAGAATCATCAGTAGTCTCACATCGTTCTATCTCCAGAAAGATGCATGAAAATCCACACAAGATCAACAATGAGATTTTTAGTATTTTTAAAGCAAACTTTACACTTAAAGAATCAATTTCGTGTCAATCAGAAATGTTTTCATCAAGAATGTTCTTTCAATAAATCTCAACGAAAAATTATTCATATTTAGAGTCAAAAGAAAAAATAAAAATGAGCGCACCTGTGGTGGCGAAAGAAGATGAAATCTCGTTGATTGTGGAAGGTCACTGCCCGGCGACCACGGAACTCTGGACTCTGAGGGAAAAGTGACTGTAACAACCTAAGGAAGGGGAAGACATCCAAAAGAAAAAAAAGCCACTTCATTTAATCAGATCAGAAGAACCAAAGAAGGGCAAAAAAAATTTAAATGGAGAAGATCATTGAGCTAAGATCACCTCCCAACACGATGTCCTAGCCGAGTGGTGAAATTATTCAATACTAATTCCGGCATGTGCCTTGTGGGATTCCCATGATTCTGTGAAACAGAGAGAAAGACCCATAAACATGGATGAATGGGTAAGTCCCCAAGTGCAAGAGAATGAAAGGACAGGAAGACAAATTATACGCTAATCAGATGAAACAAATAACGAAAAGGATCCATTAATTTCATTATATGAGCTCGTTAGGCTCTGGCAGTTCAAGAAGCAAGTATATTCAGAAATCCCAGAGTCGGGTTTTAATAAATCCAAGTATATTCACTCATTTTCATCGTTGCATAAGCAATGCACAGAAATCTCAGAGTTCTTCCCAGATGTTCAGAAAACTGTTGGAGATAAACAAACAAGAGACTAAGACGAGAGAAGAAAAATAATAGAAAAGGAACTTGCCATTAACCCACTGAAAAAATGATGAAATTAATTCAACAGTAGACAGATGGCTCAAATAGGACATCGAAACTTTTCATCATGTATTTTACTTACGTCAATATAAGTCGAAAAATAGTAGTAACTAAATTATGTCTGGAAGTTAATTAAAAAAAAGGGTATTGTAATGCATAAAAAATATACTGGTCGACTAAAGGAGAAAAAAAAAAGCAGAGATCTGCATACATTAATATCCTCCCGCAAGACAAGTTTAGAGAGTTTGAAATGTGCAGTAGGTCCATCAGGCAAACCAATGATCAACAAGGCATCTACATAGAAAGCACAGGATTAAAGACCTTTATAAAATGGAGACAGAAAAAATTAGCCATCAAAGTATACATCCCCATTGGCAGCTTAGATCAGAAAAATCAAGAACCGCACAAAGGTAAATCCTTGTTTTTTTGCAAACTAACCTGGTTCCCGGCGATTTGTATGAACAATAATAACAGAAGTGAAATCCTTTTTCTTGGCATATTCTATAATCTGCATTAAGAGAGAGTGACACATAAGCATATCACAACATAAATGACAAATTTATCATTATACACACCTGCAAAGAAAAATATCACACCTTTTTCAGTTCATAGGTCCCTCTTTTATAGTAATGGGTATTAGGGATCACTGATAACAGTTCTGCAATGAAGGCACGTCCCCTCTGTAGATCAAGGGAATGTCAAATGACTAATTGTGGTAGTATAGTTACAATAAGACAGCCAGATACTATCCCAATAGCAAATGTAAACTACATGATAACTTGAAAAATGAAATAAAGACAAAATGAGCATACAGTTGAATGGAAGCGGCAAGTAGTGATTAATATCTTTGGAGTTCGTTCCTGCTTTAGAACAGCACTGAATTCATCCGCATCATTTCCAGCAAACAACTGCATTACACATACATGAGGATCATTGAGATAGGAGCAGTGGTCGCAGTATTAGTACTTTCATGATTGGTGTAATCATGGTCAGTTATACTCCAATGAAAGATTAATAAATTCAGAGCCATAATATGAATTCTTAACATAAATATCTTAAGTTAAATGAATATTGACAAAAAATCATAGTAATCAACACTGGCAACGAAAATAACATAAGGAGAAACAAAAAAAAACTTCATAAGTACAAAAAAAGAGTTCAAAAGTTGCAAGGAAGACAGAACGAAAAAGTTGATATAAAAAAAAGCTCATCCCTTCATGTAAAAATTTCCCCAGTTTCAATATCATGAAGTTCGGTGGCACAAGAAACTGTCCAGCAAAAACGAAACCCAAACAGCCAGTTGATTAAGGTGTACCTTGCATTTTTCTAAGTCCTAGTATTCCGAAAACATTATCCAGAAGAGGTAACTATATATAAAAGATGTGATCTCCCAGAAAATCTTTTCAACATCACGCTTTTCATCAAGACGCCAATATATTCATCTAGTAGAACACCCCAGCAAAAAGCATGCAATTATTTTCAAGCAACATTTGTAGTGTTCTGTCTACGGATGAATTCGAGCACAGCACTGACATAGCTAAACTGGGCAAGAAATCAGGATCATCCATCTAATATGTTCAAAGGTTACTTGTTTATCAGATGCCCAAGATCCTCTACATTCATTTTCTGAAATAATTCATGGGATCAAGCCAAATCTGGTTATTCATTCTATCAAACAATTCATAGAAACTTCCCGGACTCTCCTCATTACGCCACTTTATACACCAGTCACATGTAACCCAATTCATTACACCTTACAAACCCTTGGAATTCTGGTGGCAGTCTGGACCCACTTGAAAACATTTTTAAGAAAATTGCAAGATAAAACACACCTTACTCTATACTCCTTATCACTTCATCTCTGAATCGAGGATGATATTAACTATGCATATGCTTGGATTACATTCATTCACTTTTCGAAATCCTCTTTTTCAAATCTGGTTGGTACTCTACCATCACAGCATCGTCCCATAAGTGTTATTATCCATCACCTGATCCCATGAATTTTCCAAAACCATAGATAGCCAAATAAATTTTTTTCCCAGATTTATTCTGCATCCATCTAACCTCTAAAATTAATATGCTGGATCAATCCACATCTGTCAATTCGGCAGACCTCAAAAATGGCTGTCCCATATAGCTGATACCACCTGTTTCCTGAGCCTTTACCTCAAAACTCTTGGTGCCCATGTTTGAATGAAAGTTTCATAATTTTCCAGACATTATCAAAATCCACAATGTATATTGCACAGGACAAGGCATAGTCTGAGTTTGATATGCTCCATTACAATCTAAAGAAACTCCGCCCTGAATTGTCCATAAATGGTCACCCCATTGGCGGTTTACAGATTAACAACGAAACGGGGCGGAATACATGAGAAAACATCAAAGGCGGATCCCTGGACAAAGGAATACAACTTTAGGCAATAGACAAAGATCCTCAACAGAAAAGAGAACACAAAAGAGGAGGAACAAGTAACCGAGGGACAGACGCGTGAAAGGAAAACGGGTGCGACATCAAGATACATCACAGTAGCTGAAATGCAAATTCAAGTCTACCTCTTCGTCGTCAGGCCTGCACACCGTTTCGTCAGACTCCCTGGTGTTCTCAATTGTGCGAGGCACACTCTTCGGCGGGGGCTGCATTTTCCAGGAGAGAGGAAGTCAGCCGTCAGATGAGACATAAAACCCTACCGATTAACACCAAACTGCGCGAACGTCGGAAACTATTGCCAAGCAGGATCACCTCCTCCCCGAGCTCAAGCGCTCTCTTGCTCGCCGCCTCCCGCGCCTTGGCCTTGCGACGCTTCTCGAGTTTCCTCTCGTGCTTGAGCTTAGAGTGAAGCTCCGTTCTCTTGATCTTATTCTTTATCATAGACGGCAACACCCCGCTCTTCCCGCTGCCCCCCGCCGCCTCCGCTTTCCTCTCTCCGGCTCTCTCCGCCGCCGCAGCCACAGGAGCATCACCGGCACCCTCCTCCCTCTTCCTCTTCCCCTTTCCCATATCCTCTTCTTCTGCGCAGCAACTCGCCGCCGCAGTGGAGAGAAACCTCGCGCCGCGCCGCCGCAGAGGAGAGAAACTCCGAAGAGGTAGAGGAAGTTGGGGGTTTTGGCGTCCATCGAAGGCCATCGCGGGTTTTGATCAGACCCGAACCAATACCATACCCGTTATCACCACCTTGGATTCGATCCGAATCGGATCCAAAAATATACACTGCTAATATTATTACGCCACGTAAAAAATATAATTTTAAAATTTTATTTTTATTTTAAAATCCCTTTAAAAATTCAGATTTCAATGGGGGGCCCAGGCCAAGCCTCCAGCTTTCTGTAATTGGGCCTTGAGCCCATTTAACAAAAATGGCGGCTGGGGGGTCCTTGGGCCCATGGTCAGATAGCACTATGCTCCCCACCCAATGGTTTTTAATTACATTTTTATCGCCCCGAAAAATAATACCCCATATACTTTTCCCCCCATTGGTCCTCCCTTTCTTTATTAATATTTTTAAAAATAAGAATAAATATTTTTAATAACATTTTAAATATTAGCAAATTTATAGGTCTCATCCAGCCTAAGTCCATCCAGCCTTCTAAAATTGGGCCATGAGCAACAATTTATGGAAAAATGGTTGACCTAATATAAGTTGCATTAATCAAATTAAATATTTTTGTAGAATATCACTACAGAAATGAAGGTCATAGTTTGTAAATACAACCATACATTATTGATTAATGTATCACCATTTACCCTAGATCACCATATCTTTCAGATTTCTCAGAGGGTTCTAGTGATCTAACAGCAGCGATAGCTGGGGAACCGATCGGCTTCCTTTCCATCTCCATGTAGAATCAGAGTCTTCCCATGGGCCAGAGAGCCCGTTTCAAGCTTTCTGAGGTCCTGGTACAGAGAAACTTTCCTTCTCAAAATAGAGTAGATCTCTCTTACCAGGGTCTCAAAGGCTGGCTTAACATTGGAGGAGTCAAGAGCAGATGTCTCCACGAAGAACATCCCATGGGCCTCAGCCAGAGCCCTCCCTTCGTCAGTGCTGACCTCCCTGGCGTCCCTGAGATCAGACTTATTCCCCACAAGAACAGTGACCACGTGCATGTCCGAGTGAGCTGTTCAAGAGACGGAGCGGAGAAGATGAACCCAGCAGTCTCACGAATGATAAAAGAATATTTGGAAGATAAAGTAATGTTACAAGGTGGAGGGAGTGGCATTCTAAGCCAGGAATGGTTTCAAGTTGATATCAATTGATGAACCCAGTAGTCTTATGAATGATTAAAGAATATTTGGAGTTATATAATGGAGGAAGTGCCATTCTAAGACAGGAATGGGCTCCAAGTTGATGTCAATTGATGAACCCAGTAGTCTTATGAATGATTAAAGAATATTTGGAAGATAAATTAACGTTATATAGTGGAGGAAGTGCCATTCTAAGACAGGAATGGGCTCCAAGTTGATGTCAATTGATGAACCCAGTAGTCTTATGAATGATAAAAGAATATTTTGGAAGATAAAGTAACGTTGTAAAGTGGAGGGAGAGCCATTCTAATTCGGGAATAGGCTCAAATTGATGTCAATTGATGAACCCAGTAGTCTTATGAATGATAAAAGAATATTTGGAAGATAAAGTAATGTTGTAAAGTGGAGGGATTGCCTTTCTATGTTAGGAAAGGTTTCAGGTTGATGCTAATTGACGCCTTTCTGATGAACACTACAACATCTGATGAACACACAGACCCTTTCTGGTTGAAGAATGTTTGCTAGAGACTTCATGATAGGGCTATTCATGTTTAGATCCCTGCAGATTCCTTAGATTGTGGAAATGCTCCTCTTTTTTCCCCTTCGCGTATATGTCCTCCAAAGATCCTCCAGTCATAATGTTCAAGGGTCTTGCAGGGTATTAATACGAGAAAAAAGGGCTTTACATTAAGTACCGGGTATGATGTGAAGTTTTGGTTCTTACTCTGGAGTTCCTCGAGCCATCTGCCAATTCTATCGAAGGTGTGACGCCTGCTGACGTCGTACACCACCAAAGCCCCGACAGCCCCTCTGTAGTAGGCGGATGTCACAGCCCTGAAACGTTCTTGACCTGCAGTGTCCCATACCTGGGCTTTGACCTCCTTGCCGTTGACATTTATGGTCTGTGTTTGGAATTCAACCCCAATGGTTGACATAGAATTGGGATGGAATTCATTCCGAACAAATCTTGCGAGGAGGTTTGATTTTCCAACAGCAGAATCGCCAATCAGGACGATCTTGAAAATATAATCTTGCCCGCTGTCTTCTTCATCCATGCTTTTAAAGACAGATTGGCAAGTTTTGTTGCTCCCTCCGCATTGCCAACTTTTCGACCTTTGATGCAAAAGTCAACTATCAAGGTCTGCGTATCACATAATCATCTGGGAACTTAAGTAATGAGATATTGTTTGACATCTAATGAGTACACATCAAATCAATAAGATAAATAGAAAAAATTCAGAACCATTATCTGAGGTTACAAGCAGAGATGCAAATCATATTATCTGCACTCACGGAGCGAGAGAGAGGTGAACAGAGGAGGGTGGTGATATGATCAATCGTGAAATCTAGAACCAAAACAACAGATGAGCTATTTTTAGTTGCACATATAACATTTGAACTCAACCCTGCGAACCGAATCAAGGATAACGCGCTAATTCCATCCATGATCACGGCAACCACGAACAATACCAAGTGTTTTTTCCTACATTTTTCATTTTCGTAATCGAAATTTTCTCTTAAAATGTGAAGAAAAACGATCAAATCAGCAACGTTCGTTCTAAGGGAGGGACAATCCCTACTTTATATTCTGCAACCGTTTCCTCATCTCTTTCTCCCAGTTCTTTCTGAAAACACATAAACATTATTCCATCAGACGAACAGATGACGGCATCAGGGAGGAGAGCACCACTGTTGAGTTGCTCGCTGGCGAAACCTGTAAGCCCCTCCGCTCCGTGGGACGCGAAGATCAAAAACTCCGCCGAAATCCTAGTGATTCAACCAGCCGGAAAAAAAAGAACAGAAGAAAAGGAGAGAAGCTTCACCTGCCGACTGATCCGGCGACGTCCGATGAACCCGCCGACAGACATCGTCGGGGGGTTCGTTATTGAAGAAGAATTCCCGCCAAGGACAAGGATCCGAAAAAGGAGTCATTTCCCTCCTGAACAGGAAACCCCCGGAATCCCTTGGAAATGAAGGGATTCCCGATTCCCTCCGTTGTCTCCTAAACACTCTATCAACCAAACACCTTGCCTCCGCGCCTCAGGCTCAGAGAGGAAAGGAATCCAAAACACGGCCCGGCCGGCCCATTGTCCCTCCACAAGCCCAGTACAGGCCCAAATCAACTTAAAAAGGAAGAAATTGAAATCATGTATTTATTAATACTCTAATTAAGTAAAATTACGAGTGATGATTATAATGAAAATTTATTTATTAATGAATATTATAAATTATTACGAATAGGGTAATAAGAAAATTTATATTATTGATATTTTACTTCTTTTAGTAAGAAGAATGTATATTATCATGAAACAATTGAATTTTATATTATAACATATTTAAAAAGGAGTAAGTTGACGTTATCTTATCTTGGTAAATAATTTTTTTACCGAATATGTGATTTTTTAGTGAATTTTATAAATATTACGATTGAAAAATAAAAGGCATTTAGAAAATGAATGAAGATATTGTGATTCTCTAATGTTAATAACGCATTTAATATTTTTTTAGAATATAAATAACACATTTAAAATGAAATAAAGTAGAAATTGAAAATTATCTATATTATCTAATAAATATTTTATAATTTTGATGTGGGAAAATCTTGAAAAAAAAACGCGTAATAAGTACATTAAAACGAATTCTGGAAGTTTTTCTGGATAAAATATTTATATGCCCAAGCATTTATTATTATTATTGTGGTATACACCTGTTTGCTGCTGACGATTGGACATGTAAAGTTTTTCGGAAAATACAAAAGTTGGAGGTTAATAAGAAATTTATTTTTATAGAGGGTTGAATAGGAAAATGTTCCCCGGAGCGAGGCGGTAACCACCCCCCACCCACTCAGTGGGGCTTCTCTTAAATCGTCGCGGCTCTCAAAAGGTCGTCTCTTGCTGTTTCTAGGGTTTTACAGTTCTTCTGGTGTGCTTCCGGGCGGTGGCCGGGCTCTAAGAATCGTTTCATTCACAGGTACTCTCGAACTACTCTCGCTGTCCTTCCTCCATCGTCTTCGTCGTTGGGATTTTATGTCCAGTGGTTCGAGAGGGTTTTCTTTTCTTGAATTTCTTCTCTTTCCTTGGTTTTCTTGAGCCTCCGTCTTTTAGTCGCATCCGCACTGTATTTTTTGGGTTTTTAACTTAATTCTTTTCGTGCAGGGTGCATGATCTGTGCGTCAAAATGACTCGAGTATACGTAGGGAACCTGGATTCACGAGTGTCAGAAAGAGAGCTTGAAGATGATTTCCGAGCTTATGGCGTGCTTCGTAGGTGGGTGATTGTTGGTTGTAATCTTATAATTTTCCCATCTTCCTGAAGTATTCTGCATTTGTATCTATCAGTGTCTGTGGTCGTAAAGAGGCAGTTGATTGTGATAAGAAGATATATTTGACACTTTTAAAATATCCTTTTTTTTCTTAATTCATTATGTGCGTCTTCCGTAGGTGCTTGGATAAAACAAGTGATTTGCTTACCTTGTAATTATGTACTGATGATGTTTCAGTTTGTGTGGACATTAGTGGTCAGAGCTACTGCTCTTGTCATGAAGAAATAGTAAACGCTGTAAAACGTAAATTTTTGAATTCTCTGGATGAACAGTTCAGTTGCATTAAACAAGTGATTCCCTTTTGATTACTGCATGCTATTTTTCGGTACAAGAGTATGGCTCTTAATTTTTTTCCGTGAGAAGACAAATTGATGGAGATGATCACATGACATTCGTTTTTCTGGCCTTCTTATTTTTTTCAGTGCATATTCTGTCAATAATTGCATAAATAATTTAAATATTTACCTTCTTTCAGTAAGGTGTTCGTTTTCGTGACATCATGCATATTCTTATTCTCTTTTTTTAATTATCCTTACTATAGTGCGACACTTATCATGTTCACGCGAATGCATGTAAATAAGCAAAAGCTGGACAGGATGGCGTCTTTCTTCCTTCAGTGGCGTGGAGGAAGTGATTGTTAACATATTTGCACACTTATTGCAGTGTTTGGGTTGCTCGAAGGCCACCAGGTTATGCTTTTGTTGAATTTGATGATCACAGAGACGCTGTAGATGCTATCCGTGCATTGGATGGTGAGCATATAAGTTTTCCATTTCATTTGTCTACCTGACTGATAATGTCATAGGAACCTGATAATACCATCATCTCGCAATTTGTGTATAGTATGTTTCACCTGTTTATTAGAGACATATCGGCCACCTTGATGTGGACACTTTGGAAATGCTGCATATCAATTCTGTTTCACTGAAACTGGTCATATCTGCTGGACAACATGTCATTGAATTTTTCGGCAGTGTTATATCTCATATTCAATTTCTCACAGTTGAATTGATGCAAATCTGTACACCCAGACCATCAGGAACTATATGCTTTCTAAATATTTTAGAAGGATTAAACTTTCAGTTGTGTTAAAAAAACTGATCCTTCATTTTAGAAGGATGAAACTGTTTTTAAATTCATTCTAATTCTTGAGAATTGACCGAGTATTTGGGGGGGGGGGTGTGGATAAGGTGAAAAAGTTAGTTTTCTATCGGCCGTCTCTTACTCTTCATATCACTCTGTACTTTGGGAGACGCAGAATTCCAGATTGATGCATCTAGGCAGCGCTGTTGAATTACTTGAAGAGCACAAGGCATTTCATCAGAGAAAGTGCACAAGCAGATAGGAAGACAGATAATTATGGTGGAAGTAGGCAGGTTAAGGGCAGCTTTCTTTCTGGTGAGGTGCTGTATGTAGAGACTGTCCGATGCGTACAGCTTGTTTGAAATTATTTTGGAGAGGCATTATGCTTATGCTGAATGAACTTCAGAAGGGTATAAGGTGCCTCCTTACAACAGATGAGGGGCCCTGATATTGTCTCTTGTGACAAGATACGGCCTTCATGATGTTTTTTCCTTTAAATTATGGAAATGTAATGATATATTACTTCGGTGGTAATGTTTTTTTGGAGACTTAATTCGATAAGGTAATATGGACATAAAAAGATCTCATACAGAAGAAGTAAATGGGCCCTCAATAGTCCTCATTGACCAAAAATCTTGAGTATTTGAGAAAGTTAAGTCGTCAATGATTTGAATTGAAGGGTACCAGATCCCTTCTTGACTTGAGGCAACAGATTATAGTTCTCATGAGAGGTTTGCTTGTATACGCTTTTCCAAAGAAACTAAGGTGATCCTGATAGGGATGGATATGATTAGTGGAAACTCCTCCTCAGCTATCAGATGACAAAAATTATAAAATTGGGAACAAAAGTGAAGCATGGGACTTGGTTGTAGTTGAAAGATTATTGAATAGTGAGTACGGAATAGTATTATAACTTATTCTGGGAGAGACTTAGTGGATGAGAAAGCAAAGAACAGTGTTTAAAAAAAGCAACGAAAATGGTTTTTTGGTTCTACGACCATTTTGCGAAAATGTGATGGTATCAAACTATCTCTATGATCCATTCCCTTGTAGGGATAAATAAATTCACTATTGCTTAGAAAATAGTGAAATGACATGGCATCTGGAACTTTAATGAACTCAGAGGAGTGCTCAACAGTTGATGATCTCAGATGATATTCAGGTGTGCTTATGTAGAATATAGTTTAGTGGATAACTCCAACTGCTGGAAAGTACTATTTCCCAATGAAGGTGCAACTATTGAGTGCTGTTTTATAGAGTCGCCAACTGAGTTATTATCCCCTTGCTGAAATATTCCCTCTCTTTTTGCTTTATACATGGAAAGACTTTGTCACTTCTTCGTTTGGATATGCTACTTGGAGAGCGTTAGTTATAAATTATGGGGATTTCTGACTCAGCTGGTTGCATCTGGCTTGGTGGAAATATGTGCCAGCGGGTGAAAATGTTTATAGTGAAATGTATACTATATTAGCTATCGGATGGATGATCTGGGATCAGAGGAATATCAGATTGTTTAATTCTGGTAGGGAATGATCAAGCCTAGGACAACTGTGGTCTCAGTGATGTTAATCTGATGTGTGCAGAACCATGAAGGACGTAGAAAATCTGTTTGTTTATATCATGCATTTACTTATGGCGGAAATGGCTGGTATGTTTTTCTTGTCGCTATTTTTTGACTCTACTTTTAAAGATTTTATCTAGTCTGTAGGTTGATGAATGATTAGATAATATACAATGCATTTTAGCATTCTAATCTGAAAGTGCGCTAGCTGCATAGGTGTGTTTATTAAAAATCTGTGCTTTTATGTTTGTCCATCTATATAGTTGTTTTGACTCAATTACGGATCTGTTTCTGAAATTCTCCTTCTTCTGAGCTATGGGAATGTTAGCTTGGTAATCAGATTGAATTATTTTTTTGTTTGGAAGAATCGTGTGCAGTTGACATACGAATGCGCTATCATTGATATTAATGTATTCTTGGTGTAGTTGGTGCAGTTTTCACTTTTTCCTTTCAAACTTCTGTCCCATCTCCCATTGAATATAATATTTCTACAAATAATTTTCAAATGCAGGGAAGAATGGCTGGCGTGTGGAGCTTTCTCATAACTCAAAAGGTGGAGGTCGTGGTGGCAGTAGTAGTGTTGGTGGACGTCGTGGGGCAGGCGATGGATGTTATGAATGTGGTGAACCAGGTCACTTTGCCCGAGAGTGTCGTTTGCGAATTGGTCCTGGTGGAATGGGAAGTGGAAGGCGCCGAAGTCCTAGCCCACCTAGGTACCGTAGGAGCCCTAGCTATGGACGAAGGTATATGCTATTTTGAATGTTAAGATATAACCAAATTTATTGGGCACTTTGTTAGTTTAATGTTTCATTAACTTCAACCAGTGTTCTCACATTCCTGTGCATCATAATTTTCATGATGTGTAGCTCCAAGCTCATTGTCTGTAGTTTTTTTTTTTTTGTTGTGGCTGCCATGTACTGAAGTTATGGTTTTAATTGCGGATATTTCCAGTATGTTGATTTTTTGATGTAGAAGGTATTATGCATTGTTCTGGAGTAGACTGCAATGGTTGATCTCACACCACCTGCCAGTATGTATTCATTTGTCCTCCATCTGCCTCACACTTTTTGATTTTATAGGAGTTACAGTCCAGGTGGACGAAAATCCCCACGGCGTCGGAGTGTCTCCCCTCGCCGAGGGCGGAGCCCTAGCCGATCACCATATCGTTCTCATGATTCTCCTGCTAATGGGTATGTTCAGTTTCCATGAGAACGTCTTGATGCAGGAAACTCTTTTCGATTATTATAGTCTATTCTCATAATCCCGTGGTTGCTATTTTTGGATCAACTTGTAAGTGAGCGTGGCTAGCACTTTCTTGTGGTTAATTACTGTCATGATTGTTAGGCTCCTTACGATTCAATTAATATATCATCGTACCCACAGTTCTGTGCTGGGACAATACCTCAGTTTGTGCTCTTTCCCCATGAATAGTTAGGAGGCATGTGGCTCAGCCTTTAGTTAATAGAATAATGCAACAGCAGTTCACTGAGTGAAAATATCAAAGTTCTCTATCCATACAGGATGTTAAAGGTAGTGCGGAAAAAGGGATTCACAGAATATAGCCTCTATGGCATGACCTAGTTCAAATACAAACTATAAAGCAACAGATAGAGAGGTAACAAAGGAAGATATAATCTACAGATTTAGCTGCATACAAAAGGATATTTTTAATCAGAGGATCAACTAATTGGGTCTTATTCTTCTTCATATTTCTGTTCTGAGCTAGATGTTATGTGATTCATTTTCTATCTGGTCGAGTTACCTCAATCCTGTTTTTTTACGTCATTTCTTTTGGTTCCACAATCTTGTCAATCTTGTTCTACTCTCTTTTCGTGACTACTTTAAAATAAAATCTTATATCGTTCCACCTTTGTGGCAGTCGCAGTCCTCACAAATCCCCCAAGCGTCGGAGCCTGTCTCCTCATCGTGGCCGTAGCTACAGCAATTCACCAATTCGTGCTCGCAATTCACCCCACACTAATGGGTATGCCCAGATGTAGCGAAGATGATCCAATAGATCCAAGCTTTTTTTTTACCACGAGTTACTTCCCTTCTTTGTTTATCACCTTGCTATGGGTTCTTGCGGACAGGGATCAACCGGCTCGGAGCCGGAGTCGGAGCCAGGGTCATAAGAGCAAGAGCAAGAGCAAGAGCAAGAGCAAGAGTAGGAGCAGAAGCAGGAGTCGGAGCAGGAGCGTGAGCAGGAGCAGGAGCAGGAGCAGGGGCAGGAGCAGGAGCAGGAGCAGGAGCAGGAGCAGGAGTTAAGTGCTCGGAATTGGCAGGAGGGTTGATAAGTGCAGTATCAACAAGTCTTGGCTGGTTAATCGAGTGATGTATCTGATGAGTTCTTCCTTTCGAGGAAGCGGTTAATGCCTGATGGGGAAACTTCACAACTGTTCTCCTCAGCATGCTGGTAACTAGAGAGGTTATTTTCCTACTGCTTATAGCTGCTTTCCTTTTGAAGTATTCAAATGTTGCGTAATATCACAGTTTGTGGGCATGCTTTTTAGTGCTTTTAAGTACACTTTTCTAAAATATCTTAAAACCTGTCCCTTTGTGTTTGTTTTTGAGGTTGTGGCTCTGCTTTAATGGCACCCATGGAATCTCTGCTCATAAAGACCGTGGATGTTCTCCATCTGCGCCTCCTTCTGCCCTAGTCGACATGCTTCTGCTTCTACGTCCCTGCCTTATCCGCCGGCAAGGGTTTTCTGCGTCTGCACATCTTCTGCCCTCCAACTGACTTGGGGTTTTTCTGCCTGTGCTCGTCTCCATCATGCCGCTCTCTTGGCTCAGCTCCATGCTGCAGGGTTGGGAAGCTCCGCAATTTCTAGTACATCTTAAATTTTTTGGCTCGACTGCGTTTTGTTCTTGGTAAATGAGGTAAACTCGGGATTCATCCATAGATATCAACAGGCAGAAGAACATTTTTGTTGTCTCCAATGGGAATCTGGTGAGGATAAGTAATAATAATTGTCGTTATCGTTATGTTTCTATGGTTGAGTAACTGAGTCATTTCTCACATTTGATTCTTTTTTCATTGGTTTCATTTAGTGTTCATTTTTTTTGGGGAGTCCATGTGGATGGGCACTCTGATAAATAGCCTTGCTTGCTCAAGAGGCTCTTTGAACCCACACTGATATAGTTTGTAGGAAAACATCATGCGTAACATGTTTATAATATTTTGATTTTTAAAAAGTATATGCATATATTTGAGAATTATTTGATTACGAAGAAATAGTTAGCCTGAGAGCAAAGAAGTTTGATAAACCGCGTTTGACAATCTTCGATTTTTCTTGCTTGGATATTGCAAAATCTTTTCATTTTTATGTTTCTAGTGAAATCATTTTGATTTTCAATCGTATTCCAAGAAAAAAGTTCAAAATTGATGATTTCATGCGTACTTAATATTTTTAGTAAATCAGAATCAGATTGCCCTTGCTGACTCAAGAGGCTCTTTGAGCAAAAAATGCGGGTTTTTGAGCACTGTGTAAGGCTTCCAATCTGTGGGAAGATGACTTTTGAGAGTGTTTTATCTTGTTTCAGCTTTAATCCCCGTCTTATATGAGGCCTTAATAACACAGATGTCTTCTGCTTTTGGTGGTATTTTCTTTCGTGGAAGATGATCATATTTTAATTCATCTGCAAGTGAAAAGACAGAGGGTTTGACGAATTAGCACCATTATTTTCATGGTTTATGATGTGTGATGATGAATCTTAATGTCTGTAAGATAGCGTTTTGATTTGGGATTTAAACCCACAAGGGCAATTACAATTCCCATTCTATCCATCTTCATTCATTCTATGGGAAAAAAAAATGTGGCTCCAAAGAACTTGACATCATCATCATCATCATCATCATCATCATCATCATGGTCATGTATGATGTTATGGGTTTTGATGTTGGTGAGATATGATGGTCTCAAGAACTCTTTAGTCCTTGTTGTCTTCTTTATCATTCATTAGGGTAAAAAAAATATGGGTTTGAACGTCTGATGGCATCTCCAACACCCCACAGATGAGTTTTGCATCCCCATAATAATTATTATTAGTATTCAGTCCACTCTGTTGTATGCTAATGTTTAACTTTGATCCAACACCCCATTGGGTCTGCTCCGGCTAGGGATTTTATGAGCCTCTGCTGGCTTAGTATAAATTTCTTCAGACTAGATCGCCATTTCCAAAGAGAAGAAAAATCAGTGAGGCTTTTCTTAGTCTGTGTCCATTTCTAATGGAATAAGTGATATTATTTCCAAGGTTACATGCTGTCTCTTCTCTCTCTCTCTCTCTCTCTCTCTCTCTCTCATGTACACTTCCCTCTACTGGGTGGGTATGCCAGGTCCAAGACTTTCATTAGTTTTCTGAAAGCTAATGCAATGCTAAAAGAAACGACTTTAGAAATACTTAGGTTATGTTATATGGAAATAAAATAGGTAGAAATAGGCTTCTTAAAAGAAAAGCGGCGGGTTGATGTGAGTGGACAGGTCAGTATTGTGCTGACTTTCTCGAATGAGTTTGACAATTTTATTTTTTTGAGAAATATTTTTATGATTTTCCTAAAAGGATTTTCTAAATTATTGTGAAATTTTACAAGTCAGAAATTGATTCCCTCAAAAACTTATTTCGGTCATATTATACAGAAATCAAATAGGCTTCTTAAAAGAAAAGTGAGGGGAAGGAGTTGGAATGGGTAGGCCAGTGATGGGCTGGCTTGATCGTATAAGTTTCGGCAATTTTTTTATTTTTGGAAAATGTTTTTCATGACTTTCTTAAAAGGGTTTTCCAAATTCGTGGGAAATTATTCTTGTCAGAATTTTATCCGCTCTGAAACTTCTTTATTAAGGTCATATAATATAAAGAAAAAGGGGCGGGGTGGGTTGGAATGGATAGGCCAGTGATGGGCTGACTTGATCGAATAAGTTTTGACAAAAAAAATATTTTTGGAAAATAATTTTTATGATTTCTGTAAAGGGTTTTCCAAATTAATGGAAAATCATTCTGATCGGAATTTTATCCACTCCAAAACTTATTTATTTAGGTCATATAATACATAAATCAAATAGTCTTCTTAAAGGAAAAGGGGACGTGTGGACTGACATGATCGAACAAGTTTCGGCAAAAAAAATCTTTTTTTGGAAAATATTTTCATAATTTTCCCAAAAGGGTTCTCCGAATTCATGGGAAATTTAAGTCTCCTGGTCAAATTCTTACCCCGCTCTGAACCAGCTGCAAGCAAATTGTAGAAGCGGGGAATATAGAGCGAGGAGTAGAATTCGACGCAAGTTTTGACTTTTTCTATGTGGGCGGCGGGGGGGGACCGTCAGAAGCTGAGAATAACGAGTAGTCAGCGGGCGGTAGCATCAGACGCGGCCCCGCCGGTGGAGCGAGCGGAGAGGAGATGCCGGGGCCGGGGCCGCACACGGCGTACGCGCTGGGGGCTGGGGCGGGGATGATGAGGCTTTCCCGAGGGCGCTTCAGCCCCCAGCACTGCCTCTTCTACGCCGTCAACGCCTTCCTCGGCCCTGATCTCGGCTCCTTCGCCGAGTGGCTAGCCGGAAACCTCGGCGGCGGGGGAGGAGGCATCGGGGACTTGACGATGTCCTACGTCCACCACCCGTTCTACTACGTGCTTCTTCTCGGTCTGCCCTTGTCTGTCTTCTACTCCTGGCTCTCCGGCGTTCTTCTCAAGAGGGGGCTCCTCGACTCGGTCTCTGGGGTCAGTCTGAAGAAGACCGAGTTCCTCTCTCTCTCCTCGTTCCTGTCGATCCGAAGAGTCTTTTGGCCGAGTTGAGTGGAGAATTATCCTCACCAAAATGTTGTTTCATCTCGTGAGGAGACCAGATATGGAAGGACCTTTATACTGTGAGAACTTTCTCACAATATAATCTTGGAACTTCATGGGTTTTCACAGGAACTCAACTCGGAACCATCTTTACACCGAGTCGAGGATCACTCAATTTTTTAGACCCAGTGGTGGATCAATCCAATCAGAATGTGATCTTGGAATTTCATGGGTTTTCAGAGGAACTCAGCTCGGATCCATCTTTACACCGAGACGAGGATCACTCCAACTATAGGCTAACCCTGCAGATTTCCTGGATTGTCGGAGGAACCCAATTCGGAAGGATGTTTAGACCACGGAGTTGTGGATTATAATAATAATGATGTAATATTTTGATTTATGACATTTTTTTTCCTGAATCGTTACCTGGATGATGGGTTTGATGCAGGTCTCCCTGAGCAGGAGTCAGTGCTTACTTCTGGTGGCGGCTGGTTCCCTGACCCATTTCTTCTTGGATCACTTGTTCGAGGTAGCCCCCCCGCCCAGTCTGAATCTTACTCTTTTTTTTCCCTTACATCTAATGCATTTGATGAGGCACCATGTGGAATAAATTTATTGATAAATTCAGAAAAAATCTCTTAATGGGGCTTGGAATCATAATCATACTAATTACAGCTTTCCAAAGTTAAATTCACTTGTCCCATGTAAAACTATATAAAAAATTGAAGTATAATTATAAATATTGATGAATCTGAGTGTTTTGTGGTTTAAAATCAAGTATCCCCCTTGTTCAACGATTGGCTTCTCCTTCACTAATCTATATTGGGTTTCAAGCAGCAGATATCAGATAATCATTGAACATTATGAAATTAAAAATAAAATCCGTCTTTTTTTATCATTTAGTTTATAAATTAAGTTATTTCCCTTATTTTAATAAATAGCCCCGTTTTCTCACTTGCTTATCACTGAAAATTTTAGTTGGGAAGCTGTGGATATCAGATATTGATGTAAAAATTTAAATAAAACCATTGAATTTATTTTTTTCGAAAAAAGCATCACTTTTCAGTCCTTATGATTGAATTCATGCTAGAGATATCAGACATCAATATAAGAACAAATAAAAAAGAAGATAAAGCCTTATCCAACAATCTCTCCGATCTACCTGATCACTCTATATTTAAAAATAGATACGAATTTATGAGAAGAAAAAAGGATCATTTTACTTTATTTACCAATGAAGCTTTTTGCCTGACGCATCAGAGATCGGATATTATAATATTATTGATCCATGAATGATGCTACTCTCTGGGAAGGAAAATGGACACTCTAATACATATACGTGGATATTGAGCACGGGATCGTGGAAAGGCAGAGTACCCAACAACGTTGAAGCCGTTCTTGTGGTTGGACTCCTCTGCACTAGTTTAATAACAGGTTTCATCTACATCAACAGGTGATGTGACTCCCCGTTGACTTTACTTCTTTTTCCCTGAGAGAAGCTTAGTAAACCGGGCACACTAATGAGGTACCCATATCTTCAAAATTTGACCGTTGTTCATCAAATAGGATCAGCAGTTGTTTGCTTCAGAATGTACAAACGAGTGGATTAAGCTTCCTTATTGGTTATTTCTTCCAACTCTAGAGTTGGTGACCAAGTCAGGTTTTTTTTCATAAGTCAAGGTTTTCTTCAAGGTTTAAACTAGCAAAAAACCCAATCAAGTTAAATGCCCTGAGAAGTCTCTCTCCTTGATGTGTTTCCTTGTAGGGTAAACCCTAAGAGATCTAGAATTATCAACTTCATGATCATTCAGGAGATTAGGCTCCAGAAATCTGTCTTAGAAAGGAAGAACCTGATTGCTGGTTTCTTCATTCCAACTTTAGAGCTTATCTACCAAGTCGGGGTTTTTATTTTCGACGAAAAAAGGGTTTTTTTCAACATATAATCGAGAAAAAACCCAATAAAGAGCAACGCCCAAGGAATTCTCACTATAAAATTTCTCTCCTTGATGTGTTTTTCTTGCAGAGTAAATCCTGGGAAATCTGTAACTACAAGAGCAAACCATTCCATGGGGCTTATTCTGCTCGTGATGTCCCTCTACTGTTTGTGGTGTGTTAGTCAGATATACTGGCGAAATCCGCCACAGCCCGCTGTTGGTGAAGAGGCAGATCTTGGAGTGATAATTTTTCTCGCCATCTACTTCTTTCTCCCCCATACTCTGTGTGTTCTATCCATGAACCAAAAAGAGCACCTCGCGTCGTCCCCTCACCTCCCACTGTGATCCTCTGGAGGTGGCAAGCTATTACCACACTGAAAGTCAACAGTTAAACATTATATGATGTAATTAAATAATCAGTGAAAGGCCGCCCAAACTTCCATGTACAAACACATAAACTTATAGCTCCAATGTTCATGTTTGCTTTCCATAAAAGGAGAGCAGCATTTACTCAATGATGAGTCGGAATATTATTATTTTGGGCCCTGGGAAAACGTTTCAGCGATGTACGAATCCCAGTCCATTCCTCATTCAGCTATTAGTCAACCAATTCCCTTCTTCTCCATTCCTGTCCAGATCTTTCTTCAGACCTGGATTAGGATTCAAGAGGCCCAGCGTGGCCCATTTGCACCGATATTATGCAGACATCTATTAATCAAAGAAATATAACAGCAACATGACGCCCTTGGAAAAGAGAAAAATACATGTATTTTATTCATTTTGAGCATGTAAATGAGTTCGAGAAAAAAATCCATAAAAGAAGATAACAACCCATGATCTTTAGTATGAATGCCAGTGGTATCATTATTGAATGAATGCTAAAATAAGGAGAAAACTGTCAACATATACATGATCAGATAGGGCCAATCCTATGAATATTGGAATGTACTGCAACGAGGGGGAAACAACAGGTCAAAAAGGTGGGGGAAATCCTAAAAGGGATTGATTATAAGGCAAAAACACCTCAGTTTTTGTGGGGAACCGGAAAAAATGCATATTGAGTAATTTAAGACGACAAGAAAAACGAAAATTCTTTGATCTTCTTATGAATGATAAAATGTCAAGAGGATTGGAAATAAAATACACATTGAGAGCATCCGAATCACCTATAAATTTTAGGAAGAGGAAAAAAAGTCATAAGTTTTTTAAAAATGGATGAGACTCTCAACTATTAATTTCCATGCTTATGAAAGTGTTTAAACCGCCAATGTTGGACCTCATGCCATCACTCATATTGGAGTTTATCAACCCACGTTCATCATGGTAAGCTAAAAAGGTGGAAATAGTACCATTTCTAGCTTGATTTCATAAGACAAGAGATTCTTCAAATGAAATGAAATTCGTTGAAACGAAAATTTAATCCATGTAGTTTATGAAATAACTTACACTCCATGTTGCCTGTATTTGTAGTCATTTTAAAATGATTTTAGTAAATTATTCATATTTTCTCAATTTGCATTTGTTCATTAAATTAAACAAAATAGATTTTTCCTTCTAACAAACAAAGTATGGATGACATAGGAGGCTCTCTACTAATTGTGGCACATAGGTCCCTTGAGAGAGTATGTGACAATTTGCATCACTTATCTTGGGCATTAAGAGAATGTACTGAAGGAAGTTAGTATACTATGTGTGATGATTTTAGTAGGGGGAATATATTGAGTTGAAGCTCTTAGTAAAAGATGCATAGTCAAACATAATGATGATTGATACTCCAAAGATTAAATATGTCTAGTGTAGTAGAACCTAATGTTGCCAGGGTGACAAGTGTTAGGAGAATCCCAAATAAAGTTGTCAAGGTGGTAGTGGCTAAGATGGCTGTTGCATAATCCACTATACGCAAACTTGTGGCAATAGATATAGGAGGCATAGTAGAATAACCCACCAAGGGAAAGTTACTTCATTTGTCATGTTCCTCATCCTACATGTGAATGCCTTAACTTTGATAGATAAAAGTGTATTGGGGGTCATTATGGAGCAAGAGGCATTAGTGTGGAGCAACATGCATACCTTAAACACCTATATGCTGCTAGGCTCAATACAACTATTGTTGAGTTGTTAATTAAATCAATAATATTTTGAAAAATTATATAGAAGTTTCAAGTAAAATCATCAATTTAAAGTAATCAATTGATGATATTAAAGTGAAATTGTGATTAAAGGTTGATTAATTATAGTTAGTATAATGATTTAATTGATGATATTGATTGTTGGATATTAAACCACCCTATTTTCATTAGGGGTATACAACTTATTTTTAAGTATGTCTTTATTTAAATATAATAATAAGTTCATGCAGGATAAAATTGTCATTATCACAGATATATGCATATGAGTAACCAGTAAAAAACTCTTTGGATGAAGGGTCAAATACGAGATATTTTATAAGAGATTATTACAACACTGAATTGTTATTGATTTAACAGGACTTGTGAAATAATATTTATACCTAAGGGTAAAATAACTTATAAGTTTTACTTAACTAACTAAAATGATTTTTATTTGAGAAAATATGTTGCAACTAGACATGCAACAATAGAAAGTTAATCCAAAGAGGAATTTAATGCAAAAAAAATGCATCTAAATTTGAAAAAATCAAGAAGTTGTGATTTTAAAAATATATGAATGATTTTTTGTGCTTTCTAAAACTTGTGTGCGCCCGCTAAGGCCTGCCTATGTTGACCATCATACCCAATAAAGACATAAAAGGGATAGTCTAGCCACAAGAAATCAAATTAAGATTCAAAAGATGATTGTTGTTTTAAGAGTTTCTCTTCTTCACCACCTCCTCTCAAATATCAAAGATCTACAAGAAAATTCAAATCACTTTAAAGAAGCAGAACATATCAAATAAAGCATCATGCACTACTTCCATCCACATCAATGTTCTTAAATTCTTAAAGAATTTAGAGTGTATTAGTAACTTTATTTCAAATCAATTAATTATTTTTATTATGATATGTGATAGATAAACTGATTGAGATAGATGTAGTATGTCGACAACTTAGTCATATTAGGTGTCGAGTCACATGTGGTGTGTTTGTTACAAGTTGATCTAGGATTATTAGTTCCTATCATAAGTTTTGTAGAAAACAATTATGTAAAGAGTTATTGATCTCAACAAATAATATATATTTTGACATTGGAATAAAGGAAATGAGGTAGAATCTTAAAAAATAGATGTAGGCTAAAGGATTTTTCTGAAGCACTTGAAATCATGTCCAATAATTATTAATGATTACACACATATTTATATGTTGATTTATAATATAATTAAAATATTGATATGTAAAATTCTTATACTTAATTATACAAGGGCCAATAATAATGTGCATAGATGAAAAGAGTAATATCATAGAAAACTGAAATTATTCATCTGCAGCTTATAAATTATTTCAATCATCCCATTAGTTTAAAATTTCTTCAACACTCTATATGTAAACAAGACATTAAATCAAGTGTCTTTTATATGCTACCTACCTTTTATGGGAGTTCTAATGAACAGTTCTATGAACATCTTCTAGAGTTCCTAAAAGTCTATGGGATGATAAAGGAAACTGATGATGATCTGAAATTAACTTTGTTTCCATTTTTTTTAAAGGTTAATGTTAGTTATTAGATCTTGTCCTTACAAATGGTTCAGGAATTTCTTAGAAAATTATATCATAGGGGTAAAATCACTATGATGAGGAAGATTATCATGGGTTTTGTACAAAGCCCTAATGAACTTCTACATTAATCATAAAAGAGATTCAAAGGAATGATGATGAAGTGTCCTTATCAAAAGATTCCTAAATGGTAAATAATTTAAATTTTTTATGATAAGTTGTAAGAAGAAAAGAAATAAATGATAGATGCTTCATGGAGGCATCCTAATGAACAAGAGTGAGGAGGAAGCCTATAGCCTCCTTGTGGAACTTAGTAAAAAAGTCTTTAAGGTGGACGATTTACAATGAATCATCACATATACTTTATGATAAAATGTAAAAAATGTTGTGTTCAAGATATGAAAAGAGAGTGAGACACCAACTTAAAGGAGTTGGAAGACCTTATCAATATTCTCCATTTTTTAGTGTTTTGAGCTATGCAATAGATGCAAGGGGCACAAGAAATACATGTTTGCTCAACACAACTCATCATGACATGTGGAGACCATGCAAGGCTAGCACATGTGCATGTGCGGTTTAGATGGATGACTCTAATGGTCAAAAGAATATCTTATGAATCTTGGAGGTTATCAACACTAAGTGTAAAGATATGGTATAGATGAGTGCACATGCTATTTGCATGGCAGATGGAAAACAAGGCTAACAATCAACATTATTAACATCACCATTGGGCCCCATGACTATAATCTTCCTCATGTCTCACCATATTTAATTATCCTATTAAGAATAAGGTGAGAGAGTAAAATGAGGAGTCATGATAGTGCTCATCCTCATTGAGTAGTTTGGCTTCCCATATGTTAGTATTTGAGTGAGAGGGGAGGAGAGAGAGAGAGAGAGGGGTAAGCATAGGTGGTAATAGGAGAGTTATATGACATGAGACAGTAGGTTTTTAAGTTTTATACCAAAAATTACATCAAAGCCTAGAGTTGATCATCATGAGCATGTAAGTTGACTTGATTGACCTAGTCATTTGACTCATCTTGTTTATTGACAATCCTAAACAAAGGATATGTAGATTAATTTCACAATGAGTAAATGTTCAGCTTTGATGCAATTTTGGGCCAAAACCTTAAAGACCTATTAACTCATGTCATATAATTCTCCTATTAACATCTCTCTCCCTCACAATACCCCCCCCCTTCCCACTCTATGCTAATGCAAGGGAGGCAAAACAACTCAATGAGGATGAGAGCACTATCATGACTCTTCTAATTTTACTCCTTTACCTTACTCTTAATGAGATGGTACAAAGTTAATAGGATAGTTAAATATGATGAGACACAAGGAAGATTAAAGTCATGGGTCAAACGATGAGGTTAATCAAGTCATCTTCTTGTGTGCTCTTCCCAAGTTGCATTTGTGGTCCTCATCCTTAAATATATGTTATATTTAGACTTTATACAAGGAACAAAGCACATTAAATTACATTAATGCATTATGGTCCTAGTCCTCAATTAACCACACGCACTAGTCAAGGCATTTGTAAAATACTATATAATTGAATAAATCAATGCAAAAATTATTACATAATTCGCATTAATTGGAATTTAATGAGAAAAAAATGCAATTTCTTACCAATGATGAGAATTTAATGTTAAAAATATTGCATGCACCCTCAAATACCATGCATAGAGATCTATGGCTATTGAATAATTCAATAACATAATTTTTTAACTATGATTTTATTTTCATTAATTATTGTCTTATGATAATAAAAAAATAAAGAGTTAGAATACACATTACGATTTTTTTTTGCACCCTAAACATTGACATCTTGCTAAGGGCAACAGATATGATATTGAATGGTTGATTTTTTATAAACTTTCAACTATATATGTTTTGCATTTATTGACATACATGTTCTAAGCTTCAATATTTTATCAATCATGTGTTATCTTTTGTTGGCAGAATGACTATTTGTTAGCTTCAATAACATAAGAACTATGGTTCCCCATGCTTGCTCCATCTTCATGCAAAGATTTAGAAAATAAAGAGAACCTTTCTATTGCTCAACCCTCCAAGGGTATTTACTTCATGTTTTTGGAGTAATTACGAGCTTATCTTCTAAATAAGAAATGCCATTCTCATCTCATCTTATAAATCATTATTCTAAATAACTATAAAAATAAGTGGGATTTTTCCAATTAATGCATAAATATTAAGGTAGAATTGATTGCATGGTTTTCACAATAAACTTGAATTAAAGGGCTAACATTTGGTTGAAAATTAATCATCTTCAACTTCAATATTTTGCAAAAGAACATTACATTTTAGGAACACATTTTTCATTTTAAAAGATCAACTAATTTATATCTAGTCTTTGCTATGTTAGTTGGATTAATAACCTTAAGTGTCAGCATATTTCTTTATATGTATGGGCATTCCTCTTAGTATCTCATTGTAAGGGTGCTGCTGCAAACACATTTTTTGCACAAGAACTTGTCCTAAATTTTAGAAATATCTTATTTGTCAACAATTTTTTATCTAGGCTCGTTATTCCTAGTATCTCGTAGTCATACACGACCAGGGCAGAAGAAAGAGAATAAACAAGGAGGCATGGGTATAAGAGGAACCCCCGTATCGTTCCAAGGGGCATGCTGGTAACATTTACATGGTTTCAAGGTTAAACAAAAATACTGTAAAAGGGCAGGGGGTGTTCAGATATATTTCGCATTAAAAAATATGCCCATGGTGATCCACACGGCGCAGAAGAGAATAAGTGCACACTTAAAACCTTCCAAGAAGCATATTGGAAAATTCGACACTTTCAAGGTTTTCAGAAAATGCATCTCATGGCAGGGGATTTTTCAAATATTCTACATAAAAAATATGCATATGGTTGACCAGCAATTTTGCCCCGCACATATCTGCACAATTGAACGGGGGGATTATAATCTTTTAAATATATCTCAGAAAAGGAAGCCTAAACTATGAGAAATTGGGTTCACATGCAGAGCTAGAGCGAGCGAGCGCGCGCGCGTGCGAGAGAGAGAGAGAGAGAGAGACCATGAGAGAGAGACCATGGTTCTCATGAGTTCCGGTAATGATGAACAGAAGAACAGAGAAACAGGTGAAGTTTGAATCAAGAACAATCTAGGAGATTCAACATGGTTGATGCCATAGAACAAACAAGCTCTCAGTTGCTGTCAATTCATGGTTTCTGCAACAGCCTCGAGCAAAAACAGGAAAATTGTAGTTCATCCAGACCAACAAGTTGACAGTGTACGATATGCAACTGAGTTTAGCTTGCTATTTGCTCGAGACTGTTGCCGAAACCATGAATTGACAGTGTACGATATGCAACTGAGTTTAGCTTGCTATGCCGTTGGAAAATAATTCATGAATTTCTGAGTTCAGCAGAGAGGAAACCCTAGAAGACGAAGGGGTATCAACAATGGTTGCTGGTCGAGGAACACTTACAGTATGGTGATGAAGCGGGCAGAGTAATCTATCCGGAAGAGGAGACTTGCAGAGCGGGCTCAGAGCTGGTTTCCACCCAGATTTGCCCCTCCGCATCCATGGAACTCAACCTTCTGCTACCGCCAGTGACATTAGACCGGCAGATTGGGCACATGGAACTCTTCAGGAGCCACGAGTCCACGCATTGGGCGTGGAAGCTGTGCCTGCACACGGGAAGCAACCTGCATCTGTCGCCGTCCTGGAAGGTCTCCAAGCAGATGGCGCAGTCGTCGGCGGCGGCGCCGCCGCCGCCCTTCTCCCCGCCTTCAAAGTCATAGCATGGGAGCGTCTCCAGGTCCTCCTTCGACAAGCCGCGGCCCCCGCAGGAACACCCCCCGTGGGCTTCCACGCTGCGAAGACTCCTGAGAGCCCTCCCGACAACGCAGATGTGGATCAGCACCAGCACCCCGATGCTGAGGAGCAGGATCACGATGGAGAAGACGACCGCCATCATCAGAATCTGAAGGACGATGCCGAGAACCCTGGCGTCCATCCTGGCTCCAGCAGCTTCCTCCCTCTCACCTCCACTTCTACCTTCCTCCAGTGTTTTGCTGATTTCGCCGCATCGAGCAGCTCCAAACCCTAATTCATCCTCCTCCTGAACCAAATTCAAACATCACACAAGCTCTCCCCACCTCCATCCAAGCCTATCCAGCCCCTCCTTCCCCCGAAACCTAATCGGACATGATACAAACCTCTCGGACGCACCGTGGAGCTGAAGAAATCTAGAAATCGCCCCCTCCTGGGAGCACTGCAGAAGCAGGCGATGGGGAAGGGGATGATGGAGGAGATGATACAGGCAGCAATATTCTTCATCGTGCTTTTTGTATGGAGATGAGGCGTCAACATCGGGGGCACTGTCGACACCGGCCATGGCGGCCCCTCGCGGAGATGTGGGGAGGGTCCTCTCATCACCTACACCGACGGTAAGAACTTGCCGAGTAGTGGAGGCCGCACTCTCTCGTCGCCGGGAAAATCCATAGCCAATGACTCTCTTTCTCTCTCGTCTCATTTTGCGAGAGAATATACAACTATTGATTGGTTATTCCTCATTGGTTATATCGTCTATTTCTTGGAGTCACTGTCTAGAACCCTAGGCCTCTCTCTCTCTCTCTCTATGGTCTTGGTTAGGGAATCCGGCTTATCTGTCTGGACTCTTTTGGCGAGAGAATTAGAGGACTATTGAGTACCTCTGTTCCTCCACGTTTATCTCTCGTTCCGTGTATGTTCTGATTCTGTCTGTCTCTCGCTCTCTCTCTCTCGGGTCTTGCTGAGGGAATCCGACTTATCTCTCTTTTTCTGTACACGTCGGTCTTCCTCTCACGTCTCTCCACATGGATACATCTTTCTCTCTCAAGAACGTCTCTAAATATATAGGCATCTCTCTCTCTCTCCCTCCCTCCCTCCCAATAGTCTTGCTGAGGGAATCCGACTTATCTCTCTTTTTTCTGTCCATATCGGCCTTCCTCACTTTCTCTCTCTCTCTCTCTCTCTCTCTCTCTCACTCTCAATATCAAGTCAACTGGTTGCGAACGGACTGCAAATCAATGTATTATTCTAAAATCTATGTTTCATTCTCCCACGGCATAAAACCCTGATTCCCCCGACACCTGCCTCCCTCTTGTCTCTCTCGCATAAATACGTCTCTCTCTAGGAAAGTCAACAACGGCTCGCCGTTATTTCCTACAACTTAAAAGTCAACGGTTGCAACTTCCTGAAGAAATCAAGAAATCATTCAAAATTTTGACGTTTAGTTCCCACAGCTTAAAACCCACCCTAATTCCCACGACATCTCTGTTCTCAATTCCAAGTCAACGATGCCGGGCCGTAATTTCTTACAATGTATAAGTCAACGGCTGCAACTTTCCGAAAAAACAAGAAATATTTAAAATTGCCTTTTAATCCCCACAGCTTTAAACCCTCCCTAATTCGCACGACCTCTCTCTCCTCTCCATTCCAGGTCAACGATGGCCCACCGCAATTTCTTACAGACCCAAGTCAACAGGCTGGAACTTTCCGAGAAAAATTATTCTAAAATTGACGCGATCAATTTTAGAAAAATCCAGAACTCTATAATTAGGTTCATTTATAATTAGACATGGCCCATTAATAATTTTTGAAGGCCCAATGGGCTAAATGCTAAAAAAACCCAGGCCCATCATCAACGAGCAAAAAACCAGAGAGCAGAACGGGATAAAGCTTTCCAACCAATATGGCTTCTTCTAGGAGCAATCGAGAGGGGGTTCAAAAGAAGAACAGTTACCGAGATCGGCAGAGACGACCGGGCGGTCAACTCCCCCTCCAATCTGTGTGCCTGCCGTTGACCCTGAACTCGGAATTTACAGATGATGAACGAGGCATGGCAGATTGGGAGTGGGAAGGGGATTGAATACGATCCGAAAAAAAGGTACCGCTTTTGGATGGTTTAGTTGCCGCCGGTGGTGAGCCGGAGGATGGCCTGGGCGCTGAGCGGGGACAGCTTCGACCGGCAGAAGCCCTCCCATGAGTCGTCGGGTGGCGGTGGCGGTGGTGCCGCCATGAAGACCGAGTGGAGTTCCACCACCAGTTTTCTCGCCGCCTCCCTTGATTCGGGGAGCTGGTCGTTGAGCTGGGCAGCTGCCACCTGGATCAGCTTGTCAATTCCATAGTCCCTGATCCCATCAACGCCCTACAGCAGACATGCATCACTTCAGATCAGAAATAGCGACAGAGAGAGAGAGAGAGAGAGAGAAAGAGAGAGATAGGGGGGGAGAGGGGAGAGAGGGTAGGATGGTTAAAAGTAGTTCTCAAATAGTCAAAGAGTTAGTGAGAAACCTTTTTACAGAGACAGGTATGTGTAAAAACTGGTCTATCAAAAAGTCAACTTATGTTCTTCGCACATCGATGTACCAAACGAATGGGCAAAATGGCAGATGGCAAGGACAATGGCAGATGACAAGATATGCATGCATCTATGCATCACACACACTGAAATGGCCCCTAGTGATATCTTATGATATTATTTTATGTGTTCTACAGATTTTCGCCAATAGTGTTCTTCGTGGTCGTTGACTTCATCTCATTTCACCCTTGTGATCCGTATGCTAAGAAAATTCACCTCATATATTCAAGAGCATGGACTTCTATAATATACCTGATAGTCTTTTTAATTGAGTTGAACAGTCTTTGTCGAACCGAGTCTTTTAAAAAAATAAAAAAAATATGTATCATGGCTCCACTATCACAGATCTGGCTGATTTTTCCAGCATGAATGGTAGCGTTTTCAACATGAACAGCCTTAAATAGGAACATCAAGGGAATACACAACCAAGAAGTCCTCAGATTCTACTCAAGAAGTCTCAAATGGTCTGAGTCAACGGAGATGCCGTACCATATCTGGAATGTAGATCGTCCCCAGGGTACAGATGCCAGATTTGGGAATAAAAGGGAAGTAAGCACACGACTGTAGACACAGAATCTCTCCTGAGAAATGAGTTGAGACTGAAAGAACAATGGATATGGAGAGACCTGGGTTGAGTTCTCAGAGGAGCTTCAACCATCTCGAAATGGAAAAATTAGACTTTGATGAAGCACTGAAAGCAGATAGAATGCTGCCCTATTGGTGATGTTGATAGTATAATGAAACATGGGTAAGAACAACAAATTTACATTCTTACCAGTTGTGGAACACTGCGGCAGAAGCACAAAGATGCCTTTGCTCTTATCCGAGGGTTCCTGTGCTTAAGATAAGGCTGCAGCTTTGGCAGTAACTGAGAGGGAGAAACCCATGTGGTCATTGAAACCAGTGCTCTCTCCGCCGCATCACATACAAATTTTTTATCTTGTGACGATTTGAGAAGAAGCTGTAAAAGCTGAAGTCAAAACAAGGGAGAATTTCGAACACGTCAGGAATAGATGAATTTGTTGTCCACCATATATCAGTAAGTAGAAATAACACCATTTTGCCTAAAGATAGACTCACCAGTGGGTCAAGTGAATCGATTATCTGGTCGCAGTAAACCTTGAAGATATCAGCAGATGTCATTATTGCAGTCTTGCATACGGCACTCCTAGGATTTTTGAGGGATTTCACTACCATTGCTACCACACTAGCCCTGTTTGACCGTGTCAATCAAGAAGAACAAAAGTTATGGTGGATTAAGCCAGTGTATTTAGCTCAGTGATAATTATAATGAGCCGCATCAAACGTAAAAATATTTCTCAAGGGAATTTCTTGAATTGGTGTAGGCTCTCAGAGCAAGCGGAGATAAAGAACAAGATGCTTACAACATGTCGAGCAGTTTTTCCTTATGATATATGGCTATTTGCCTCACATTGTTGAGGGACTCGCACAGTAAAACCCAATCTTTCGATTCTAGTCTCACTAAGAGTGTCTGCATTAAAAAATAAAGAGATTCAACAATTTTCTGAAAAAAATGCATGTGAGATGCATAGTAATACTCTATAATGAGAATATTCTACCTACATCAAGAATTAAATAAGTAAACAGAATTGGTCGCGAACTAGTTCATACACTGAGACTCTCATCCACAGAAGTGAGCTCCGTCAAGTTCTCGGATTCTATGTATTCAACTTCATTCACAGTTTCTACACCATTACTTCCCACTTCTTCATTTAATATACCACAGACCATAGGAACATGAATTTTAGTCTGGCCATTCTCCAAATTTTCCATTTGACCGTTCTGAGATTTTATCAAGGTTCCCTTGCTGGAGCTTTCGGTCTTCCTCTCTAATCCTGGAATTGCCACAGTGTTAAGATCTCGGAGGGCTTTTCCCGACATTGTCAGTAGAAACCTGCAAATGAGACCAATTTCAACTTAGAGAATGAGCCGTATGCAAAACAAATTATGGCAAAGAGCCCAACACTGACAATGAAAATAATAATAAAATAACAGATAAGTATGGAAGCGATAAATGATGATACAAAATGACCTAATAGCGTCAACTGTTTACTGATGAGAAAATAACGTCAAGCATAATCTAGTCATCCACATTCTTCCACATTTAGATCCTAAATGATGGCCGTCAAATAGGGGCACGATAGAGGCAGCTTTTTAAAGAGGACAGAATTGGAGAGGATTTAATTCGTACGATATGAAATTTTTCAACATCCATATAAGGTTTTAATGAAGCTCTGGTCTCTTCAAGTCCATCCCTAGAGTTGAGAGATATTCTTTGGCCAAAAAAAAATTTAGTCAACGAAATAACAACAAGATAACAGCTGGAAAAGGAAAAAGATGAGGGAATATCAAAAAATAAGAAGAATAACGTCCACAGAAAATGGAGAAGGCTATTACAGAAAAAAAAAACCAATCTTCCCACCAACAAGAGAAATCACTAAAGCTGACACTCGTCCAGGTAGATGTCAGAGTTCGTATACAATAATATTATTAAATTATTAACAAGTTAAAATTTATAAATAATATCACATGTCAGAAGAATTGCCTATTCCAGTCCTAGGTTACTGAGAATGCTTTCGAGATTCAGATGACAACATTCAAGCCAGATACCCCTAAAATGATGTTGGGGGGATCACAGTTGCCTCTTACCTCGGACTGTTAGTGTTTGAAATCCGTAGTATACCACCAAATGTCTTAGCACTCGTCCTTATTAACATAGAGAAGAAAACCGCCAAAAGGTTGGAAGAACGAACATAGGATCATTTTCATTTCATAATTAAATATTTTCAACAGAACATAACCCTAAGCAGCAAATTTGTGCCTCTGAATGTTTACAGCTGCTCCACACAAGTGACTTATTCACACAATTCTCATAGCTTTGAACTCAAATATGCCTGTTGTTTATTACTTTATCTCAGCTCTTCGTCAATAATTGGTGACACTTTACATCTAGATTCTCATATGGAGGGAAATAAGCATCCTACATTGTTTTCACTTCTATGAATGTTGAGGAAAATTCTTCTGTCGAGTCCCCAAGGAAGATACACACCATACTAATATCAGGTATTTCAAAGACAAAATTTAGTAAATGTTGTCTCATCAAACAATTTCAAATCCTATCTGATTACTCCTGCTGGTGAAAAGTTTAAAAGAACAAGTTCTTCCTTCAAATTAGACCTTTGGAGTATGCAATTTATCCCGTAGATGTTTTCAAATAGGAAAAAGGTTCACTAGACTTCCTCTGGCTCTGAAATACGGGGGGACATGCATACATAGAGAAAAAAAGATTGACACGGCATTTCAACATAAATGCCAGATTCTAGTTTAATTCGAGGAACTATATGCACTCGTCCGATAACTCAAAAAGGGGGGGAGGGGTCCCTAACTTCTCACAAAAGAACTTTTCCCCACATTCATTCTCACAAACTATATCGAACCTTTCAAGACCCACATTCAATGTTGAAAACTTCAAACAATTTCACTAAAGACTAAGGCAACCCAAATCCAGAAACTCCAACAACCTCGCCGGTTCCCACTGTCAGCCAGAGGCATACATTACAGAGCGGAGAGATCCGAGCGACAGTCGCACACCGAAAACCCTCCAACAGAGGAAGACTTCCGACGGAATTCCCGACGTGCGAAAAAGAAGAAAACCACGAGATCCCACCCGCCGCAATCCAAGAAGTCAAAAACGCTCCACCACCGACCAATTCTCGCATTGCCAAACCGCAAGAGGGGAAAAGTCCCACATAAGCGAAATTTACTTCTGAACAGGAGAGGTTCCGAGCATTCGCATACTTACCAAACTAGCAGCACCAACTGCAGCAGCAGCAGCAGCAGGACCAGCAGTTGCCGAGTGTAAGCAATGCCACAGAGCGAGAGATAGAGAGAGAGAGGGGAGAAAGAGAGAGAGAGAGAGAGAGAGTCTTCGTCTGGGCCTTGCGGAGCGGTGGAAACGTCGGCAGTTATAAATGGGCGCATTTAAGAAAGGAGTGGGAAAGGAAGGCGGGTTGTTGCCTACCTTCTATTTTTTCCCTGTTTTCCGAATTTTAATCTACTAAGACAATCATACCGTCATTTAAAAATTATTGCATACATACTCCCTTTTCCACCACTAAGATAATACTGTAATCTTTTTAAAAAAATATAAAGCAATCTCATTAATGAAAATCCATGCCATATAATATATTAAAATATTAACATATTTTATTAAACGATTTATTTTTTATTTTTTACCCCTATTTTGCGAAGTTTTATAGCATAAAACCTCCTCAATTATTGACCTTGACCTTAGCTATTGACTTTTCTATAACCTACACTCAGCTCAGTCAGACATGGCAGGGTATCACATGGGCTCTCCCACGATCTCTTCTCCCACCGAATCTGGTGTATAACCAATTAGAACTTAATAAAACCTATAAATATCATTCAACGTAATAATAGGGGTATATATAAACAGGCGCACGCTGCATCCTGCCAGCGAAGAGGCTGGGACCCACGCCAAGTCAAGCTGATATTTTCTGGACCAATTGGGGGAGTTTTTGGAGATCGAACCTTGGCCTTACTGAGTGTTAGTTTTCAGAGTATTTTTGATAATATTTAGACGTATACCCTCATTCGGGCTATTCTAGTTACCCGGGCCGTAAATGGGTCCAAACTACCCCCTCTAGCCGACCCAGAGCCCACTATTAGATCTGTCGAAAGCCCACATGACCCACACGAACGGTTCCCGCTCCCTGATTTTAAATATTTGCCACTTGTATTTTATAATATTTAAATATATTAAATATTCGTATTTTTATGTTTATTAATAATGTGAGGTTTTATTTTTTCAGTTATAGTGAACAAATTAAATTTATTCTTAAATATTAGGTAATTTATTTTATAATATTTAAATGAATATATTTAGATTAAATTTTCGACTTTTTCTTTGATAGTTGATGTGATATTTTATTTTAATTTTTTTAGCTGTAGTGAATCAGTTATTAAATATTACCTACTATGTTTTATAATATTTTAAAAATATTTAAATATTGTTTGTATTTATTAATTTTTATATGATTTTTTTTATTTTTTAAAATGTTTAGTTATAGTGAATCAGTTAAATCTATTCTTATTTTTCCATTATTTTTTATGACGAATAATAATAAAATCGGGCCGGGCCGACGTTGGATCGTTGAGCCGCTATCCGCTTGTGGGATTTCGGATCCAGCAGTTCTGGAACCTTCTGGCTTCGCCTAAGTGCCCTATAAATAGACATATGACCTTTGGCCACTAAAACCCTAACACGGTGGCTTCTACAGCTCGTTGTGTTTGCAGGTTACTCTTCCAGGGATCTGATACTTGGACGAGGGTTTCTGTAGGTACCCGGCAGGTCGTTGTTTTCGTTCAGATTTGATCGTCATTTTGGCTCCCGTGTTCTTCTAGCTTGTTTGATTTTTCCTGCGCTTCTTATTCCATGTCAATCATTTCGGTCCAACGATGACGACGGCCTCAGTGCTTGTTCTCAGCATGATTCTGCAGTGGCTCGCGAGACTCTCGAACGCCTCAAGGCTTGTTCTCAGCATGATTTAGCATGATTCGCGGCTTTGATTTTCATGTCGGCTATCGAATGACTAGAAATATCTCTCTCTGCGGTTTCTATGGTTTTCTTCTTGTATTCTGGGCTCTGATTTAATTACAGATCCGATTCACCAGACTGATGATGACAATCCTAAGGCTTGTTTCTCAAAACATTCGCAGTGGCCGCCTGAGAGCTTTCGCCTCGCCGGGCTTGAGAGCTTGTGCTGCTCTACCCTTCCTTGGATGTCTGAAGTTCCATTGTTCTAGATTCGCTTCATTATCGCGCATTCGATGATTGATGATTAGAATCTTGAAAAACTTCAAAGACGTATATGGAATGTCGATGATGACAATTTTTAAGGCTTGTTTCTCAAAACATTCGCAGTGGCCGCCTGAGAGCTTTCGCCTCGCCGGGCTTGAGAGCTTGTGCTGCTTTATCCTTCCTTGGATGTCTGAGGTTCCCAAAAGTCTTTGAAGATTAATGTTAATTTATGTACCAGAACGCTAGCCTAACTTCCGCATGTTTTATGTAAATCTTTAGAATTACGTTGGTTCTTGACGCATTAGGAAGGCAGATGATGACAAATTCTAAGGCTTGTTTCTCAAAACATTCGCAGTGGCCGCCTGAGAGCTTTCGCCTCGCCGGGCTTGAGAGCTTATGCTGCTTTATCCTTCCTTGGATGTCTGACGCCTTCAGTGAATAGGTTTCCGGACGTTATTTCAAGACACAGTACGCTTATTCGCTAGAACTCGGACGTTTTAGAATCTTTTATCGAGCTTTTTTTCGTGCTATTTCCATTGAAAATATGAATATTTGGTTACAAGGGCATTGATATCCGATGTTGAGGTATTGCCGTGACGAATCATCTCTCGTGTCAAATATCGTCGTTTCACCGCTTTTAGGTTTATTCTCTGCTGGGAACTGTTGAGATGTGGTGGAACAAATTATTAATTGCACTAAGTCATTGAATGAATGTCGTGACTATCAACCAATCCGAACACTTAGTAATTGAATAAATCCCCATTGATTCAGTATCGGTCATATGAATCCCTGAAATGCCAGGTCCGGCTTCAGTGTAAGGAAAGACGTTGACCACTGTAATGACGAGTGTGTCTGTCTCTCTGTTACTGAGACAAGTGACCATTGTCAACGCTTGAAATTAGCTTGACCCGTCACTACTATGCTCACATACCAGAAACCGTCAACAGCTATCTGTTACTGAGACAAGCGTGACCATTGTCAACGTTCGTCCGTATACCAGGTTGGGGCATTTTCAGGTAAACCAAAGGTCAACAGCCGTTAAAAAGAATAAATACAATTCAATACCAGCTTAGATCACTACCTGAAAATGTCCCCATCATCCCAATACATCAGCGTAGAAACATATATCTCTCTCTCTCTCTCTCTACCAAATACATCAGCTTCGAGCGAGTGGGTCACAGTTCAAGTCTTGATCTACACTAGTCAATAGTGAGTAGAGGAACCCCCCTAGCAGATATCATACAGTGCTAATTGTTTTTCTTGGAGTATGATATTCAGAACTTGACTTTGGTGGAGAAGTACTCAGATGGATCGAGCCCGGGGTCGCCTACCCATCGGAAGAGCTGACAAATAACCGAAATCACAGATACAATCGATCTCCCTCAAATAGCAGTCGTACATGTTGGATCCTCCCATCATATATCATACAGATTTGTATTTTCTTAGGATATGCTACAGTTGGACCATGAGAATCTCAGACTTTTTAAAGTATGGGGGAGAAGAGCCCGGAAGTCAACTACCTACCGGAAGAGCTGGTAGAGAACCCGGAGGTCTCTGCAGTGCACGCAGGTCCAGGGAAGGGAAGGAGGATCCAAGCAGCAGGAATGCACCCACCGGGTCTTGCAGAGATGGCAGCACTGAAGCTGATCTTCGGGCTCGTGACTGTGGCACAGGTGGCAGGCCAACAACTCCGAGGCCTGTTACAAGTTTCCAAAGAGTAAATTGGTCTGGTGGAAACAGGAAAAAAAAAGAAAAAAAAAGTCTTCAAATCTCAGCAGCTGAAAGTCAACGGTGGTGACAAGGGGGAGGGAGGGAGGGGCAAAGAGAGGTGGTAACCGGGTGGGTATCTGTGGAAATTCCAGAGGAAATTGATCTATCTGAGTGGCTCTTGGTCTCTATGAACCGTCATTGTAAACAGGAAAAAGGAAAATCTAAGCCAATGTCCGGATTGAATCACAGCTCCCAGCATAGAGGAGGAAAATTATTATCTTCCAATCTGGGTTTGCTCCGATTTGATCTCAGCAGCTAAAAAGTCAACTGCGGTGAAGTTTGGGAGGGTATCTGTGGAAATTCCAGAGCAAATTGATCTATCTGAGTGGCTTGTCGTCTTTATGGATCGTCAATGAAAACAGGAAAAAAAATGTAATCCAATGTCCAGACTAAATCACGGCTCCCAGCAAAGTGAAGGATAAGCGGCTAAAAGGTCAAGTGTGGTGATAAGAGGGAGGAAAGAGGACAAAGAGAGGTAACGGCAGGGTGGATATGCTACTTCATACCAACTCCGAGGCCTGTTAATATTCCAGAGCAAATTGATCTATTGCTGAGTTGATTTTTGGTCTCCATGAACCGTCGATGAAAAAAGGAACAAAAATATCTAATCTAACGCCCCGGATTAAATCATAGAAGAGGAGAAATTGTCATCTTGATGCGATCTCAGCAGCTAAAAGTCAACTGCCCCAGAGATGCAGCAAGTTTGTTTACCTGAGAGCCGATGAAGGAGTCCAGATCGTTGGGAGGCAGGCAGATGTCTGCAGCGTCCGAGGAAGAAGAGGGCGGAAGAGTCTGAGAGTATATCTTCTGATCAGAAGATGCCGCAGAGTCCACCTTGGTGATGCTCGAGAAGCTCGCCTTGCAGAGGGGGCAGGTTGAAACCTTCCTCTTTGAGGCCTGGAAGAGAGAAATGGAAGGATGAACATGCACCCAATAAATTCCACATCCAGCAGATTGAAGAAGTACGATGATAAGTAAGTAATCACTTGCGTAGAAAAACCTATTTTATTTTATTGCATTCAAGAACACCAATTAAACGAAGACCCAGAACATGATTTGATGCTTTTCTTCTACCATAAATGTTGGCTCTTCAGTTGAATCATTAATCTCCTGTAGGCATACTAGGAAGAAAAACTTAGGGTTTCGGCATATTATCTCGTGGACTTCGCATACAGATTTCGAAGTAGATTGGTCAAACTTTCTAAAATTTGTTTGAAGCATGGGAAAAGTTGATATGATCAAAAGACTGATCATTGAGAAAATCAGTCGAAGAAGAGTACTGTACATAGTAATACATCCAACTGTCTCCTAATGGTCAGCGTTGAATCAGTCCTACCACTGTAGCATGTATGGCTTCAGGAGAAAAACCACAAGTGAAGGCCATGGGAACCAATAGCGATTGAAAATACGCATCTACCAATCCAGATTTTACGTAGAATAACGTAGTTTATTTTCTTTATGTACAGAAATTGTTTTTGGTCATGCCCTTCACAAAAACCAAGAATCTATTGAATACCAACTTCATCAATTCCAAAAAATATCTCTGAGGCCACTAGTTTAATTCAATACGGATTCATTTAAAACGATATTTTCTGGAAATTAGAATATCAAGAAGATTAGTTGATCAGGTTGTAGAACCCTCCAATTGGTCATTCAAAGTAAATATCCATTTACTCGCCATGAGAAAGGGAAACAGACAGCAGAAAGCAAAATCTGAAACCAAATGAGAAGCAAAATCATGCCGGCATTGAATCCTTTTTAGAAAGTAATAATTTGGTCAAATCTGAGAAAATGTAGACAGTTATATGGTAAGATAAGAGAAGACTTATATGGAAACTACTTACCATACAATCAGCCCATCCTTTGATGCATGTATAACAGAACCGGTGCCCACATGCTAGAACCCCCCTGGTTGAACTAAAATCTGTCCAGCATATTACACATGACAGCTCTGCAGGTGATCTGAAAGGATCAATCGATGGAGACGCTTCCCTGTCTTCTCTCTGACTCATCCCACACTTGCCATGCTGTTTCTGTGGAGTGATTTCATTAGGATCAGGGAAGCTATTCAACTCCACAATATCCTCCAAACCATCAGCTGCTTGGCTTGTTTCATCAGAATTATTCTCTGGCGGCGGTACCTGCCTGTTGACTAAATCATCAGAGCTGATAGAATCACTGTCACTGATATCTCGTAGGTAAGAAATTTCAGCACGACGATTAGCTTCCAATACAGCATGAACGGAAAAGTCAGCCGTTCTGCTTCTCCTTCTCAGTTTTCGACTTTTTCGTTCAGTGGACTCACTGTTCTCAATACGATCACATAAATTCGTTTTCTGTCCGCAAGAATGTGGACGAGAAATGGAAGCACATCCAGGCTGGTAAAAGAAGAAAAGATTGGCATTATAAACATGGGGAGCTTATAGACTGGAACAAAATTCATCCAACAATAATCTAATAAATCAGCATAAGGAGTAAAGAAAGCTTAAAGATTTTCCCTGATAAAAATCTAATAAATACATTAGGCCGGATATAAATATGTCCCCAATAACACGCATACAAGTAGTCAAATATATTCCAATATTTTATTAACGAATAATGCAGTAAGGCCTCTAATGCAGGACGTACCAAACTGTTTTCCGTTCTAGAAATCACCTTTAATATTATTAGCACATTCCATATTTTAACTAAAAAAACAATACAGTAGATCTAATCGATGTAACATAGTCTATGGCAAAGGACAATAAATTGAAACCTTCGGCCATAGCATACAATGATAACTTCACAACGAAGAAGTAGACTACAAGGGGCAGGGAATAGTGTCAAGAAAGGACATAGCTCCATTACATGCGAGATGCAAGGGGGGAAATTTTTTGAAACAGACGATGTGAAAAGGAATAGAGTCTCAGACTCGGATATTCTAAAACAGGTTCCAAATAGGAATCCGATTTAATTTTTCCTTGTTTGGGTATATAGCAACATGGCAGACATTCATTAAAAACAATGCAAGATGGCCAGCACATCATCATCTAACAAGAAGTTTCAACAGAACACTAGAAAGAAAAGAGACGCTGGCAGTAATACAATAATGGGATAAGGAAAACTGACCAACAACAAAAAAAACGCAACCAGAGTTTGATACATGAATAAACATTTGATGATACATTTACAAAGAAATAAAAAAACATATGAAAATGGAAAGAGTTCAACAAGACGTTTACAGAACGTACAGTGCTAAATCTCTAGATAATGCATTATTCTATCCCGTAATACCTTGTGCTAAATCAATTTACAGATTCAATAAGGAATCGGATATTATTATGATATCACCGTTAAATACATTAAGGTTCATCTGATCAGTGTATATGTCATAGTCCTCAAGTATGCGATTAAGAAATAACTACATATATACAAGGGAAACAAACAAGGTCAACTCGACTCCATTTCCATTAAATGAAAACCAAAGAGCATGCAATAAGATTATATGTATCACAACGAAAAAAGTGACATCATATCTAAACCTTTTACAATCAATAAAATAAATTTGTAAATGCAGATGAGCTTTGTACAGACAGAAAGGATAATCAGACTATGATTTACTCGTTCACTTAAATTATCTCATCAGAAATGTTAGTCTAATCCTGGATGATGTTTAAGTATGCCGCGATTTACTCAATCAATTCAGCACATTTCAAACAACTCACCGATAACATACATTGCCAAATGGTTGGCTACAGGTTACTAATCAGAATATTACCTTATCCAATAGATGAGAACGAGGCACTTCATTTTCACAATGCCTTGAACTATTTCCTTGATTTCTGGCATCGTCAAATGTATTGGATAGATCAAATAGCACGTCTTGCTTGGCATTCTCTGGATTTTCCCCTTTTCTCTTGGCGTGCTTATCTTCCTTTGGGACCTCCCATAAGATGGGTCCAACCTGTCTGCCACTGCAGATAATGGAGGGTCATAAACATGAAAACACGTTTAAATTAAAACTATCGCAGAAATCACAATGTTTGTTTTACAGCTAGACTCCCAGTTGACACATTTTAATCAGCTCGCATTTTGTCCCCTAAAATTATTTGAAGGTTGAGATGAATCATGCATAGTTTTCATTCATCATCCAAAGGCTTTACACACCACATACTGTTGCCAAGAAAAAGCTTTACCCATTTTTCTTCAGTGAGATACTCTTTTATGAACGATCAAGGACATTATGCAAGAACATTGTGGATAAATTTTTGCAATTTAAGATGCCGTTTTTTTAGTAATCCAAAATAAGACTAGATTAATGTCAACTTACATGCATTATAGAAGAACATTGTGTATAAATTTTTGCAATTTAAGATGCCTTTTTCTAATAATCCAAATAAGACTAGATTAATGTCAACTTATATGCATACGACCCATAAAATTCATGTTAATATTTCCATAAGCAACTTGACAGATGATAATGAAGTAGGCAATAAACACTGAATGTTCAACGAACAGTCCAATATTTGACGAAGATTAAAGAGAAGAACGAGAACCAAAAAATCTAGTTAGACTCGATAGGTACTTCAGCATAAATCAGAACCGTAAAATAAAACTAATAGCAATCAAAGTAATAAAGACAAGCATAATTAACCTCTGCATAAGGTAAGGACGCTCAGGAATTCGCCTCCCCTTCTTTAAGCAGTCCTCAAACCAACCATGGCTGACTATTTTGGTCCCGAAACTTCTTGCAAGGTTATACTTATTTCCATCTAGCTCCCAGCATACCTGTACCGAAAAAAGCCCACGCAGCTCCAGATATAATTTCCATGTACACATAAAAATATGATAGGATAAAAAAGGAATTGAGGATTATTAGTAGTCATCAGAAGAAATGTGGGCTTCTCTTCCAAGTTTAAAATAAAATGTGAAACTAACCAAATGGGTAGTCGATCTGGCCATGGTCCCCACGTAGTGAGCACCAGTTTGTGTGATGAGCTTTATCAGCTTAAACCTCTCTCTGCCATGGTAACCACTCACGCTAGCAATCACGTTCTCCATGCCTTCAGCCGCGCAGCACTCACTCCCTAGTACGGAATCAAATAATCTCAGATTGTAAACGTATATGAGAAAAGAAAAAAAATGCAAGAATATGCCTCTCCCCATTCTGACATCACATGATTGCACCAACAACTGGAGGAAACGACGAAATCCATTTACTAACAATTTCTTGCCTAAAGATTGGGACGAAAAAAGCAAGCGCCGCAAAAATCAGATCTTCAGTTCAGAAGGGAAGGAAATAAAAAAAATCACGAAAAAAACGGAAAATACTAGCAAGCTGCTGCACCCAAAAATGATCATCGTCTTTCCTCGCGCACCATCGACAAAAATGTACAAGAGGAGAGAGCTGGAGGTACCTCGAGATCCACGTACAAGGCGGCGCTTGGACGATCCGTCCTCCATGAGAGCACGAATGCGCCGGCTAGGGCTCCCGCCAGCGAGACCCCGAGACGATGAACGAGGGCGGCCAGGACGAGGCCGTGAATTCTGGGGAGAGAGAGGGAGAGGGAGACGGTGGGATTTTCAAATTTGCAATAAATCCGGAATCCTCGATCCCCCGTTTGGTTATGGTGTTTAGCATATCTTTCCAGGATTCTGACATGATGTTATTGGGCCAAGCCCGTTAAAACATAGCAGGCCCAATAGTTTTGCCCATTAATCCCAATGTGAAGAAAGACCATTCGCACGGTAGCCAGCCAGCCAGCCAGCCACCGTCCTGTCCACGTGGAAAAACATTTCTCCACGTGGAGCGGGGGCTATTTTACTCTAACCCAAGTAAATATTATAAATTTCAAAACTTTTGGTCTTTAACGATAATCCCCATAAAACCCTCTGTTATTTATCAGATAAAAGGAATTAAATCATTATATATTATTTTTATAGAAATCCACATATCGGTAAAAAAAATGAATATTAATTTAATTAGACGATATTTAAATTAAATAAATAATATTTTATCACTCATGTTTTAAGCCTCAAGGGATACAAAAAAATTGCCTATCATCCTAGCTCGAACTGACTCAAATGATCAGGTGGGGGACATTGAAAAAATACGAATTATTATATAATAATTTAATATAATTTACTACGATAAAAATTAAAAAGCTTGTTAGTAATTATTCAATTAATTTGATGTGAGTTAAAAATACATGATTTTTTATTACAAAAACCGGGTTGAGCCGGATCTGGTCCGGTCCAAAGAGACGGTTGGACCGATCTCCTAGCTCGAACCGGCTCAAAACGACCGGTCGGATCGATTTGGTTCTCCGACCGTACGACGCGGTCGGAGCAGTCACAGTTGGTAACTTCGGGTGAGCGCCTGAGGTGGACTCGCGCCTATCCCCCCAAGTCTTCTGCCCCCCTCTCTCCGTCGCGTCTTTCGGGAGGTGCTGAAGCGAGAGAGAGAGATGGAGGGAGGAGTGGGGAGGGGGTAGCTAGGGTTTGGGGCCCAGCAGAGGAGGAGCTTGTGGGCCGAGGAAGGAGTATCGTGCTGCTCCCGGTAGTTCCTGTGTTGTTTCCGATCGTCCTGAAGGGTTGTTGCGCCATTCGTGCTAGTGAGAATCCTTACGGTTTTTTTGTTGTGCTCATAATGGCTTCATTTCTTCGATGATCTGTGTGTTCTCTGAGGCTTTTATTGCGAAATCACTGAATATGTATTGGTTGGAAACAAATTTGTGGGTAGTAGATTGTGAATGATCTGGACTCACGTCTGTCTTTATTGATAGGGATGAGTTTTTTCTGGCAGAAGAGACGTTTGAACGGCGCCCTGGCTCTGCCTCTTAAATGCTCTGATTTATAGACTTTTTGAACTGTGTACTTGTTGGTCTCCCCTTCCGTACTCTTGAAAGGGCTGTGCTCTTGAAAATTTACTTTTCAAGCTGTGCTCTTCAATAGCTAGTTTAGATTGATGGTTTTAGACGAGGTCATCAGACGACCATTTCAAGCTGAGGTGAAATCTGCAAATTAAGTGAAGAATAAGATATGGAGATTCAGAAGCTGGTTGGAATTGGGGTGGTATCAGTGTATGGGAAGGTTCTTAAAAAACAATGTGAATCAGTTACTTTGGATTACTACTCAAGTTCACATTTATCGCTGATCGACTTCATCTTCATTAAATCTTAAACCGTTAAGTCATGGTTCTTCATGTAGGCAGCGACTGTCTTAATTCTAGTACAGGATTAAAATAAGCTGTTAGGGACGTCTATCTGTCACTTTTCTTCATGCAACGTGACATTGTCTAGTGATACTACAATCCGATCTTCATTACTAGATATTTTCTTGGAGCGAATCGTGGAAATTGGTGCCCATGCCTTTATACTTTCACAGGAAATCGAGAGCTACGATTAGCATGAAATCTTTTGGAAGGATTAGCGAGGCAAGTCTGAAGGGTTGGTCATAGTCAACTGTCACTTGGTTTGTTCCATTAATAGAAAGAGGTACTTATATTATTATGTTTCTAGAGAAGCATCAGATAATTGGCATATGCAGGATGGCTGCGATTTAAGTTTTTTGTGGAAAATACTGAAATACTGATATTACTTAGTGTCTGATATTCTGCTATTGTCCATCTAAGATGTCAATTTCCACAGGGTTGCATTTTGTTATTTAATGCTCTGAATTTTGGTTATCCCTTGTGTGATTTTGCATGTGTAAGACAATGTAGGAAGTTGAGGTGTTTTATTAATTTTTTCGTGAATAGGAAGTGGGAAGAAACCTCCTGACTTAAAAACTGTGAACGAAGTTGCTAGGCGAATCTCTGTAACTGAACCATGAAAATAACTCTGGGTGTGGGCTTAGTACGCATTGAAAGCACAACATTTATTTCAATAATCTAGCCAGTTTCCCTTCTACTTGCTCCTCTGTAGGTTTTCCCTTCTACATTGGCTCCTTTATCAGCTAACCATTAAAATAACTCTCATCGTGAGGTTCTAGCTCTTCACTAAGAAAGAGCTAGTTCTGGAAGATAGTTCTTCCACCATCATTACCATGTCCACTGCGTAGTCGAAGATCATATTGGCGTGGTGTGCTTTGAGCGTAGGCCTATAAGAGGAGGCAGTGTAGCCACTTCTTTTTAGGGTTTTCAATGAAGGAAAGAGCCCAGAACTCCCCAGTTAAGGCCATCAGACTCGCGTCCTAGGATTGTGGTTTCTATTTCCCCATATGATATTCTACTTTACACAATGGGTTGGGAGATGTTCAGCCTTTATCTCACAATGTAGTTATGGACGTAATAGAGGATCCTAATTCTATTTCCCCAGTGTAGCCACTTCTTTTTAGGGTTTTCAATGAAGGAAAGAGCCCAGAACTCCCCAGTTAAGGCCATCAGACTCGCGTCCTAGGATTGTGGTTTCTATTTCCCCATATGATATTCTACTTTACACAATGGGTTGGGAGATGTTCAGCCTTTATCTCACAATGTAGTTATGGACGTAATAGAGGGTCCTAATTCATTTGATGGGAACATTGTTGGTGAAAGTGGCAGCAAGGTGGGCTAATTGGCTTTTCGTCAGTGTTTCATGAGGGCTTGTCCATTGTGTTGGGTCAAGTAAATTGTTTGGCATTATAACATTCAAGTAGTTCTTTCGTCTAGAGAAAATTTTATCATGGGTATACATGGTTAAGGAGCCCCAATAAAGCTCATAAATGAATGATTTAATGGCCCCATGTGGATGCGTTGACTGTGTGAAAGATGGAATCAATATGTATGTTCGGTTTGCCCGGTTTGGAGAATACCTCTTCTTTTCCTCGACTCGTCTAACATCTATCTTTCGTTCCTTATCCTGCACCATGTTTTTATTTGTTTCTTCGTTCTCTTGCTCTCCTAATCATTCATATTTCTGCACAGAGATTGCATATTTATTTATTGGATACAACTCTGAAGAAGGCAGCTATTTCCCATGGGGAGCAAAGGTCGCCAGCAACCTTACCTACGGCAACCCCCCAACATGATGAATCCCAACCCATTCATCCCCGACATCCATCCCCCAAACGGACCCTTCTTCGACATGCTCCCCCCCCCAGAAATCATGGAGCAGAAGCTCATTATCCAGCACAGCGAGATGCAGAAGCTTGCACATGAGAACCATAGGCTTGCTTCCTCTCATGTGACCTTGAGACAAGACCTAGCCGCCACCCAACAGGAACTTCAGAGGATGCAGGCACAGATCGGCCTCATGAAGGCCGAGAAAGAGCAGAAGATGAAAGCCCTCCAGGACGAGATCATGAAGATGGAGCCCAATCTTCAGGCATCTGAGGGCATTAAAGTGGAGCTGCAGCAAGCTCGTGCTGAAGCCCAGAATCTGCTCTCTGTCAGAGAGGAGCTGATATCAAGAGCCCAGCATCTGACCCAGGATCTGCGGCGTGGTCATGCTGACATCCAGCAAATTCCGGCCCTGATGTCTGAGCTCGAGGGTCTCAGGAGAGAATACCATGACTACAGGTGACAATCAACCTCCTTGGTCAACATTGACCCAGTTGGAGATGCTTTGAGCTTATGTTGTTGCTCTGCCGATGCAGGCTTACTTATGAGCATGAGAGGAAACTCTACAGTGACCACCTCGAGTCACTTCAGGTGATGGAGAAGAATTATGTTTCTATGCTGAGAGAGGTGGAGAAGTTGAGAACTGAGCTGGCCAATTCCTCGAGCTCTGATAGAAGGGCTGGTATGGGCTTTCTTTCCTTTTTTATTCTTTTTTCTATCTCCATTGTGCTCTAGTGGTTTAGTGGAAGGTCTCATTGGTTTAGGTGAATGCAGGTGGGCAGTATGGGAGTAACGTGGGGTACCAGGAGAGTGAGGCACTTGCTTCAAGTGCACCTTCACAGACTGTATCGGCCCAGCTTCTTGTGGTTCAAAATGCTTATGAAGATGTTTACAATGTTCATCAGGTGATCATGAGCTTAGCGCCCTGCCCTCTTCTTGGGGTTTTTCGATATTGTAGAGAAATATGATGTTGTCGTCAGCATTTTATCATTAAAAGGCTTCTATCAACAATATGGACTAACTGTTCATCAGGCGATCGTAGTGTCCATCCTCGTTCTTAAATCTTGGTCTTGTTTTCAATTAATATTATCTCATTCTCATTGTTATCATCATCTTCATCATCATCACCACCATTGCACATCAGATCAGTTTAGTAATGTAATGTCGTCATTATCATTTTATCATCAAAATGCTTCTATGAATATGGTTCAACTGTTCATCCGGCGAGTTTAATGTCCATCACTTACTTGAATCATGGTGTTGTCAACTAATTATAGATCATTCTCATCATCATTATAATCATCATCATTATCATCATCATCATCATCACCATCATCATTGCACATCAGATCGGCCTGTCCCTGTTGGGATCCTCATTAACTGACCTGATGCTGGGCCAGCTGGAGCTAATTCCTCCGTCTCCAGCTATTTTTCAACCAATTTAATCTGATCCACAGTCATCTCTCGACCAATCTTTCAGGTTCCAGTTCCTGCAACCTCCATCTCACCTAAATTTCTTCTTTCCCTCACTTTGAGATGCAGGGACGAACCCCACCTGGTGGAGCAACCTCTCACGGTGACACCACCGGAGGAGCCTCACAGCCCCGAATGGCTGGAAACTACGATACCACCCGAGGCAGCAGTGGCGGTGGCAGCGGCGGCTATGATGCTTCAAGAGGCAGCAGTGCCGCCACCACTAACTACGACACTTCTAAACCCACACCATATGATGCCTCTAGGCCATCGGCATATGACACTGCCCACAGAGGAGCAGCTGCAGGCTATGAATCTGCAGCCATGTACACCAGACCCCCCGCTGCCACTGGCACTGCCACTGGCTATCGGGTGGCGATGGCACAGGGTCCTGGCCGTGCAGGAGGTGACCGAGATCAGCCCCGTGGTGGCACTTGGCAGTGAGTTTGGAGTTTTACTCCCCTGTCAACGAAGAATTTAACTTCAACCCACTGGAATTTTGTTTTATCTTGGATTCATCCATGCGTGGCTGAGTCTCCTCCCCCTCTCCCTCCACCCTCCATGGTTTCTGTCATTACTTGCATATTCTCACAATTTTCACACTTCATCTCTCTTTCTCTCTCTCATTCTATGTTCTTCAAGCTTCTGTTGATGGGAGAGATTATTGAGCCGCTGGCATAGCTGAAGTTGGCCAACTATTCTTAACACGCAGGCTGTTTATCTCTCTCTCTCTCTCTCTCACTCTCTCTCTCTCTCTCTCTCTCTCTCGCTGCATCTTTGCCTCGCCGCTGTTCCAAGAGGAGGAAGATGAATTACCATCGCAACCTGCAGGAGCCACAGTCGCACCAGCAACAACAGTCACCGCAGCACTCATATATAGGTGGAGTCATCCAAAATGAATAATTCTTCTCATGCACACATGAGAATTATCAGAGAGAAATAGAGAGGACGTCGATGATAATGGAGAGAGAAAGAGAATGAGATGTTGGAAGAGAAAGCGTGAGTTGGGGAACTGCATCATTTTTTAATATTAAATGACAAACAAGAGAGAGCTACAATACTTGGTGACAACAAGTGATGCTGACTCACAGACGCTCAACAAAGATAGGAACTTATAGTGAAACCAAATAACTTGAAGGAACATTGGAACATGATGAGATGTCTTATTTTTCTACAAATCAAAAAATAAAAGTGTTAAGGAGGTCATAATTTTTTTGCACCGTTTGTTGTTTGTCTCTATTATCTTTGATTATTGTAGACTGCCTTGCCTTACCAAACCTGCAAGATCCAAAAGTGATCAAGAAAAAATTGCTTTAAACAGCAAAAAAAAGACTTATTCATGGGGGATTGACATGAAGAAACGTGATGTATCTTGGTACGAGGAGAGATTCCCTAGAAAAATAATTATAACTTATTAGCTACTTTCATGGGTTAACTATTGAAGGGATGAATAGAGAAGCATGTAGATGTGACTAATACTTATATTAGTTCCTCTACCAAGTATATAATTCTAAGGACTCAATTTGAAGGCCAAATTGAAGGCAGGTTTTAAAGAGGCAGGTTATTTCTACAACCCAACTTGAAGGACTTTGATGACGACTTGTTAACTTAAATGTCGAATACCCTTCTGTTGCCATCAATTGAGAAGCTATACTCTCTAAGCAATCAATACTTCCTTGGTCTTGGGGTCGCCAATACGAGATGGTGAGTCTCCAACTCTTAATGGAGTTTCTTACAAATCTCTTCCCCTCCTCTGAGGGTGGCTTCTTTTCTCTTACAGCCTTTGTCCGTTCGTGTCGTCTGCATCCAATGGAACTCAGGACTTGATGTGATATGTTGTTGTCGGGTCCTACAATTGTACTAGTTCACCGTTGGATCCGTTTTTCGTCTTCACCTCCTACCTTGCATGATATGTTGTATGATTGTTTCCAATGGTGTCGGGCTCTAGTATCTCATCACCTTGTGCTCCACTTGGCCTGCCAAGCTTTGCTACCAGGCTGGGCCGGTTTCTTCAAGACCTCATCCTCCTTGGGTCCATTTCGGATGCCAAGGTCTCAACAATACTCCCCCCCTATTTATGCACTTTGTCCTCGAGGTTGAAATCAGAAAACTGTTGGACGATGTTGTAAGCGGGTTCTCATGTGGTGGCCTCAGTTGACAGTCTGTCTCATTAGAGGAGCACTTTATGGGCCATGTAGTTGATCACGAGCATCAATGACCCAACCAAAGGAACACCATATGTACTTGGTATGAGGTGAGAGGTCTAGACAATACGCCATTGACCCAATTCACTAGAGAATCTTGAACAGGCTGTAGAAGCAGGGAGCAAGTTTGGCACAAGGCTGCCACACAACTTTGGTTTGGCAGTAGGGCCACAGGTGAAGGTAGACCCACTAGCCTACTTCAAACTCGAGCTCCCACCATTTATTGTTTACAAAACTCTTCATTTGAGCCTGGGCACGCTCCAAGTTATATTTGAATTGTGCAAGAATATCATCTCATTCCTACAACATTTGCTCCAGTTCTCTTAGCACTGTGGGTTTGCTTGTGAAGCAGATCAAGATGGGTGGGTGTCGACTGTAGACCACTTGAAACAAGGTCGTCTGTATGGAGCAGTTAATGTTTCTATTATACTAGAACCCTGCCCACAAAAGTCACCTATACCACTATTTTGGACACTCATCAGTGAAACAATAGAGATATGTCTCGAGCCCACAGTTGACCACCTCTGACTAGTCGTCGGTCTACGAGTAATATGTATGAATAAATATGCAAGCACATGATCACAATAACAATAGAAACTTAATTTCTAGATACCAATGAGAACAAATAGAAGAGAAATCATCATGTTATTAGGAATTCTGATGAGAACAAGACTTTTATTAAATACCTTTAATCAACATCTCAATGTCCTTGAGATGACCCCCACATGAGAGTTAGTAATGAACTCTTATCTCTTTTTATAAGGACTTCACATGTAATAGAATATGAGAGAAACCAAAAAAATAAAAGAGAGTTGATAGAGAGAGAGAATGAAATCAAGGAAGAGAGAGAAATCTCACCGTCCATCATACTCTAAAAGGAGAAATATATGTCCTATTTATAAAAAATAAGAAAAAGTAACTGCCTCTATAAAAGTAGACATCTCAACCTATGTGCAAGCGAACCCACACATCTTCGAGGTGACGATTTTAACCTTCCTCGTTTCTCACTCCCTCACTCCCTACACAGCCCCCGAATGGTCAAAAGGGGTGAGATGACAATTGATTCTCTCTTTGCACGACCCTCGAACATGTCAAATAGAATGAGGTGTCAACCATGTCACTGCCTTTCACTCCTTAAATGTCCCCCAAATAGGTCAGATGTGAGAAGGTTGTTGATGCCCTTGGACATAGATTTTGATATTACAATTATATGAGAAAATATGTAATTCATGTTTGATATTGTTTACAAGATTATCATAAATCCCTCAGATTTCATGCAAATAAATCTATTATTTATCTTGTGACATTATGGCTAACCTTGAGATTAAGTGAATTGATGAATAGGTGAAGCGCCACATATATATGGATAAATATTTGTTGGAAAACAAATATTTAATAGGTAAATGATGGTTATATTTTTAGTTCATCTATCCATGATTATTTAACCATTTAAGTGCAGCTATTATTTATTAGTAACGTTCATTATTAAAAGAAAAAGAAAATGATTCGAAATATCAAATGAGCTCTTGTGAGTCTCGAATCGGAAATCTGGATGATGACACGTCAGCTGCTTACGTGGAGAAAACGACCATCTTAACGTTCGAATCTGAAGACAAAGTCAACAATAAAGTTGTTCTTCTGTGAGAGATAAATCTCCAATTAAAATGTCAAATCGAACGGAGCAGACAATAGAAAGATATTGAATTATCAATGGTCAGTCGTTGCCACGCGTTCCGGAAAACGGTTAGTATTTGAACTGACTTTTCGATTTTATCTCTTGAGCAAAATGCGGAAATCCGTTGGAGGACGACGCCCTACAAGAAAAAGAAGCTGGGGAGATCAACAACAACGATCCTACTTCGATCTACTACGAGTTATCTCTCTCACGATCAAGAATCATCGCCGTGATTCAACTGCGAACAGACTGCATCATCCTTCTTCATCAACGATTGGTGATCAAGATAAAGTTTGAATCTTTCAAGGAGGCTCTCCATCAGGCCCTAAGGTAACTGGGTAGTGAGTGGAGAGTGATTTTGGGCAGAGTCACGAGGTGCTCTAAGCCCTGTTTGGCCCGGAAGGGGTTGGATCTCTGCGGAGGTCAAACCTGAGGTATTAGGCTGCTGATCCCATTAATTTTAGTTTGTATTTCCGAGGGAAATAGTGGAATACCGGTAGGAAGGATCCTCCGGGACTGGAAGTAGCCAGGTGAGGGGCGAACTAATATAAAAAGTTCATGTCTCGTAGTGAGAACCCACCGGATGAGAGAGAAAGCAATCCTACACGTAGATAATCACGCAGAGCTGTGTTAACACATGTGTTGATACATTTACTATCCATGAAGAAAATATGAGATTTTTAAAATACCAATTCACCTCCCCTCTTGGTATTTTTCCTAGCCTTTAGATCTTACAATGGTCTCTCGCATGTCTCTCAAATAGTTGAGATAGGAGAAGGCTCATCGCACGTCTCTCGAATAGGTCAACTGTGATAGACTGACACTAGTAACAAACTGTACTTTAGCAGCCATCACCACTGCACCTAGAGTTGGCATTAGTCCGTGTTGTAAGTTCTCCACCTTCTACAAGGTACTTACAACATGAATCAAATTTAAACAATATTTGAACTTCTCTACTGTGACAACTTTCGTCAACATGTATGTGACATTCTTCTCTATGTGAACCTTCTCTAGAGATATATCTTCAAAATTCACCAATTCATAAATCTTGTGATATTGGACATCAATATGCTTCGATTGTGTATGATAGACTTGATTTTTTATCAAGCAAATAATACTTTGGCTATCACAATGTAGAGAAACTTTACCATGTCGAATCCTAAGTTCGCTCAACAACTCTTTCAATCACAAGGCCTCTTTAGACACTTTAATAACTGTCATGTACTCTGCCTTAGTCATAGACAATATGATAGTAGTTTGAAGTGTAGACTTCTAGCTCACATGTTTGCCAGCCACAGTGAAATTATATCATGTCGTAGATCTTCGATAATCTCAATCCTTGATAAAATTTACATCAATAAAGCTAACAATAAAAAGATAAATTTTTTGGTCAAAATAGATTCAAAATTTAAAGAACCCTTTAGATATCAAAAATCTACTTCACTGCGCTCCAATACTCATTTCCTAAATTACTCATAAATCTGCTCACAAACTCAACTATATGAGCAATATCAAGTCTTGTTAGACCATAGTACACATCAAATAGTTAACCATACTAATATAAGGAATTTGTTTCATTTCAGCAATATCTTTCTCAGATGTCAAGCACTAAGTAGTAGATAATATGAAATGACTAATTAGAGGAGTCCCTATTATTTTAATGTTATTCATGTCAAATAGATTCACCACCTTAGTGAAATAACTCTTCTAAGTCAATCATAGTTGATTTGACTCTCGATCTCTATAAATCTCCATACCAAGAATCTTTTTGTCACACCAAGATTCTTCATGTTAAATTCGTTGTTCAATAGTAACTTCAACCTAACAATCTCAAGTGAATTCTTTGAAGCAATAAGTATATCATCAATATAGAGTATTAAAATAATCAGATAACTATTACCACAGGTCTTTATATAAATACAATAATCAAAATTACACCTTGTATAGTCAATCTGCAACATGTAAGAGTCAAGCTTCTTATACCATTGTCTCAATGACTACTTCAAATCATAAATAAACTTCTTCAATCGACAGATAAGATATTTTGACCCTTACATAATGAAAACCTCCGACTATTACATATAAATAGTCTCTTTTAAATCTCCATGAAGGAATGTCGTCTTCACATCTAGTTGCGCAAGCTCCATATCTTCATGTGCGACAATGTGCTTCATAATAGGTAAAAAGATCTATGTATAATTAATTCTCTACTTCTGTGTATAGTCTTTTGTAATAGGCCTTATCTTGTATTGTGGTTGGTCACCATCAATCATTGGTGACTTTTTCTTGCATATTTATTTGTACCCAATAGCTCACTTCCATGCAAAAAGATCCACCAATACTCACTTCTCAAATATCACTTGTAGTCAATTCTCATTTTCAATACAACTAATTATCTTCTGAAAAGTTGTAGACTCGTCATCTCTTATAAATCATACAAAGACAATATAATCATCAAGATGAGTAGGAAGCCTTACTTCACAGCTGCTTCATCTAAGAGTAATACAATCAAGAACATATAGTAATTCTATAACTTGTTCTTCACTCATAATGGAACTAGGAGTACTTTGCACAGTTTTCACCTCCAACCTTATTTTGTCCTCAACATGAGTATCATAAGATTCCTAAACCATGTGTTATGTAGAAAAAAACTTCAACTTATAATCTTCATTAAATATCGCATTCTAGTTGAAAATAATATTTTTTGTATATGAATCATAAAATTGATATCTCTTCATGTTAGTGTTATTGCCTAAGAAGAAACATTTTCTTGACTTTAAATCTAACTTCGATCTCTCATCAGTAGAAGTAAGGACATATCCTAGACATCCAAATATATGTAAATTCAAATTAGTTAACAAGATTCACAATTCATAACTCTTCAGCAACCTTCTTATCAAGAGTAGAATTTGATGATCCATTCATCAAATAAGTCGCCATACTCAAAGCTTCCACTTAAAACTTCTTGGATAAGTCAACATTCACTTGTAAACATGTGCAGAGTGAGTCCTTCGCCACTTGAGCTCAGCTCGTGGCTCCCCTAGTATGGGTCTACCTGCTCGACCGCAGCACCCTCCAGGTAAGTTGTCGAGTGCATATTTATTCTACAAGTTAACAAAATAAAATAAAATAATAAAACTACTTAAAACACAAAAATCTAGTTTTAACAAATACCCCCAACTTTGAATTTTGCTAGTCCCTAGCAATAAGTAAAAGACTTACAAAGTTAAAGCTGTTTATTAATTCTTTTACATTAATCATTTATTTTCTCATTTTTCCACTAGAGATGGTATTCAAATAAATATTTAGATATTCATGTGATTCGAAATAGTTTCCTATAAGATCAAAAATAAAAAATGTTTCCATATTCAAATGAACTATTTCAAAAAATATTCATCTTAACTTTCATTCTCTTCAATGCATGAATTTCAACATCTTTCATTTTTAGAAATCACTAATTAAATGATCAAAAGTTTACTCAAGTTTTCAAACTATCTTCAGCCTTCTCTTCTAGATTCGTGCACCTAAGTAGCGTATTCTATTTGTCTTTTTTTATTATTATTATTATAAACATCATAGGCAGGTAGCTTTTTCCATGTAGCTTCTTTTTCATATCTAAATCTCACATGTGGAAAGCCTCCACGAGACAAGGGGGAAATCCCCATATCTTGTCCTAGTCTCACATATAGAAAGTCTCTATGGGACAAGTAGGAAATCCTCATATATATATATATATATATATATATATATATATATATATATATTTGAGTTGGCTCTTACATTCTACCATATGATGATTTAATTTTTTTTCGATATCTATATATAAGACAAATGGTCAACTACTCAAGATTTCTCATACTAAGAATGTTTAGCTTCCAATAATTTTTATATAATTTCAACCTCTTCACATCTAACTTTATGATTCTTACTAATTTCAAATGCAAATTCATAACATATGGATCATGATCATCAAGATATATTATGAAAATATTTCATCCTTCAATGTACTACATTTTTTTCTATCACTTGAAGTCATGCAATTCATTTACTTAGCAACATTGTTATATTGCGGAGTATTTTTCATCGTATAATGACATTAAATATCATCCTCATCATAAAATTGATCAAATTTAGAATTTTTAACTTATGTACCATTGTCAGTTTGTAAGATTTTGATCTTTCTCTTCATTTGGTTCTCCACCTTCGCACACTAAATCTTAAACTTCGTAAATACTTCTGACTTGTCCTTCAAGAAGAATACCTAGACTTTCCTAAAAAAATTAACAAAGGTTAGAAAATCATGAGCACGACCTATCAATGTCACATCAATCAAACCATTCACATCTAAATAAATATAATCCAGCACACTATCTGTCTCTTACTTCACTACCTTGAATGTCACCCTACACTATTTTTCCATGACATAGTACATGTAAAAATTCAATTTGTAAGTTTTCACACCAAATAGCAATCCTCATACATGTTTTGTATATATGTCTCACTCATATGGCCCAATCATAAGTGTCATAAAAGAGTGTCATTAATTATAGAATCATCTAGTGTTGCAACATAAGCTTCACCTACAGTAGTACTCCCCTCAAGTTTATAAATATTCACTCATTAATATCTTCTCTTCATCATAACAAGTAATCCTTTGATAGTCTTGAAGATCTCATTCTCACATTTGAAGCTACATTCATTCACCTCCGATATTCCAAGTGAAATCAAATTTTGGTACAATACTAGAACATGACAAATATTCCAAGCTCTCGGACCACCCCATTAAATATTTGAACCTTCATCGAATCAATGTCAACAACTTCACAAGCTATATTATTTCTCATAGAAACAACTCCCATGGCACTCTTGTATAAGTCAAATCAGTTAGTATTAAGACACATGCTAAGAGCAACTGGTATTAAGAATACATGTGTTCGACACCTCCTCAACTGCAACAAGGTTAGAATAAATTTCACCATCTTCTTTGTCATCAACTTTCGTAATATTAGCATAATCAAATTCACCTCCTGCTACGTTATCACTCTAGTTCTTCAGACAATCTCTCCGCAAGTGTCATTTCTCATTACACTTGTAATAAATTTAGTTTTTTAACCAATTTGTCTATGACTTAGACCAACTCTTCTTGTCTCCTAATGATCCCTTCTTTTACCTTTCACATTCTCTTCCATCCTTCACATATAGACCTTCACCATAAGCCTCACCAATATACTTCTTCTGATGATTATATTACATCAATGAATTAATAACATATTTAAGAACGGGTGTTGTATTACCATGCAACAAGGTTGTAATAAGATA